TTACGGAGCGGGCGGTTCCTGTTGCTATATTCTCAGCAGAGGAGAGTGTCAAGCGCACTTACCTGCGAAAATGGCTCAAAGACAACAGCCTCTGCACCTTCGACCTCAGATCTATCCTCGACTGGGAGTACTACGTGGAACGCTTGGGTTCAGTTATCCAGAAGCTTATCACCATCCCTGCCGCGATGCAGAAAGTCTCAAACCCTGTTCCTCGTATCCGTCACCCTGACTGGCTGCATCGTCGCGTTGCAGGTGCTGTAGACAAGTTCAAGCAGAACAAAGTTACCGACTTTTTCACGCGTGCTACTGCGGACTCGCAGTCCCAGGCTCTAATAATTGACGCAGAACTGGACATGGAGGATTTTGGACAAGATAAGACCTTGGAACGCCCGCGCATTGCCATTGTAAATCGGAAATCCCGTAAACGGACGCCTGAGCCCGACGAAGAAATATCAGACGACGAAGCTCCACTTCCTGACCCTACGATCAGCTATTCCGCATGGATCAGGGCCATGAGACCACGATGGAAGAAACAGCGGAATGCTCGCTGGGGAAACACTGGTGACACTATCATGCCCTCCATGTTCAAAGGTGCCCGGGTTCGCACAACACAGCGATGGGACATTGTGCAAATCCGTCCCAGCAAGATTCCCGGGCGATTCACCCTATGGGTATCCGTCGATGCTCAACTGGTGTCTGTACCTCTGCGCATTCCTCGCGAATTTTTCTTGCACCTGAAGACACCACCTCGCGACACCTTATTTCAACCAGAGTACTATGCCTTCGAGAAGGTTGTCCGCCACCTTCCTCGTGATATTCTCTGTTCCAATCTCTATCGGATTTCTGTGAAGGAGGACGTTTATCAGGAAATTCAAGAGCATTTCATAGACCTTATGAATGATCCGAATGTCGATGGTGTCTTCGAGCGGCAGGTACATCTCATCCGCACTTTAAGCGGATAGTATGCTTACATCTGTTTAGGTTCCACTAGAGATGCGTGCCCTCCTCAAACTAGGCAAGACATGTACTGTGGACGAACCCGGCATGACTCTGAACCGTGCTCAAAGCAGCGGCGTCGATTTGTCTCAACTCGACAGAGCCAGCGTCTCCCTTACTCGCAGAGTATACCTGGATGGCGGTCGCTCAGCGAAGTATATCTTCCTGTATCATGCATGTTCTAGTACATCGCATGTCCATGTGTTTGCGATGTTCATGCCTAACGGTGCTGTGAAACTTCACCTTGTTGATCCCGCTCCCCGCCGACAACAAATCCCCCGTCTTCAAGAGTTATACAAAGACCTTTCGGCGAAGCGACAATCCAAGTATGGAAACTGTTCGCTCGACTATCCCGCCTCATGCGATTTCAATACCACATACCACAACAAGGATACGACAGCTCTCAAATCCATCTCCAGAGAACTCGGACTCCTGGAAAATATGTCCTACACTGTCGTAATTTCATCCATCAAGGATCAAATTTACTTTGACACCTGGGTTCCAAAACTTTCAAAATTCCCTGTTCTTTCAATGTCGAAAGCGAAAGCAGTCCATACCCTCAACGTCTTCCCCTGGCAGCCTGACGTTGCCCAAAAGATGGTTCAGCGGTACCTATCACTAGGAATCTGGCTGGATCGCTCAATCGCTCTAGCGGATTATTATGATGTCCCTATAGGTCACATCGACGGCGATCAGCCACTGTTATTGTCGGACATCAGCTTCGCCCGACGACTGATTCAGCAGGACATTGTCCTTTGGTGGTCACCGTCGGAGCGTCCAGATCTTGGTGGAATCGAGGATGATAGTAGACCAGCGGAAGACATACAGCACACAGAGTTTACATCACCTGGATGCTACTCCAACGTGTGTCTAGAAGTTACTGTTCGCAATTTAGCAGTAAACTCCATTCTCCACTCTGTCGCTGTCAATGAGCTTGAAGGGAGTGGCGGAGCAACGGCATTCGACTCCGTGTCCCGGACACTGAATGAGTTCTCCGGAGGCGAGGCTCAGCGCGACCTTACCCTTGGAGAATCAAACATCTCGAGTCTCACCTTTGGTATTCTCAAGTCGATGGTCAAGACATGGTTGCTTGACAAAGTGCAGGGAAATTTCGAAAGCCCGGCCACGCTAGCAATTGACCACTTCTGGCGCTGGATCAGCACAAGCGCTTCCCATCTTCATGACCCAAATATTTATCGCTTCGTTCATGGGCTCATGAGGAAAACGTTCATCCAGATGTTGGCTGAATTCAAGCGACTCGGATCTCACGTCATCCACGCGGACTTCGGCCGGATTTTGCTAGCAACCTCAAAGCCTCCAGGCACCGCTCACGCATATGCCACCTACATAACCACAGCAGTGACATCACACGAACTCTTCGAACACATGTATCTCAAAACAGAGCGGTTTTACGATTTCCTTCTCTTCATGGACTCTGCAAATATGGGAGGAATCGTATGTGAAGACCCGCTGGCTGTTGACCCCCCAGAAGAGCTCACCATCGAGACTCGGTGGAATATCCAGACCTTCCTACCACCCGCAATTCAGGACGACTTTCGGTGCCGTCATTCAGTTCTTCATCGTCGAGCTTTTCAAGATTCGGCAGAAGCATAATGAAGGTTCAAGAGCACCCTTCCGCGTGCTTCAGAATCTGGCTCCAGAGCCCACCCAACCTGACCCGAGCAAAATTAACGAGGTTGATGCGACACGGGAGTTTATCGCCAGGAAACTCACCCGCAAGTTGCTTCGGTTGGTTGGCACTATTCAAGCCAAGCAAAGAGATGCTTCCGTGGACGAAGAACTGAACACTCAGTTCCAGTTCCCCGTCCTGCCTGGTTCGCATCTTAACATGACAAATGCGCTTCTCGAATTTGTCAAATTTACCTGTACCGTGCTTGGCCTCGCCTCTGATTATCAGGTTGAGATTGGTTTGCTCAAGCGTAACCTCCTCGACCTTGCTGGTGTGCGCGAGTTTGCCAATGAAGCCCTTTTTCGCAACCCATGCGAGCCGCTCAAACTGCCTAATGTCCCTTGCCGGCATTGCGATACACTTCGTGACTTTGACTTCTGCCGCGATCCAGAACTTATGCCATACGGTCTTGATGGTGCTAGGCCACGCTGGATCTGCGGAGGATGCGGAGGAGAGTACGACCGCATTGCGATTGAGATGGAGATGGTTAGACTAGTTGGATCGCTCGAAAGAGCGTTCACGCAACAAGACATGCGCTGCGGCAAGTGCAAGCAAGTTCGCTCGGACAACGTGTCGCGATATTGTCATTGCTCTGGATCATACCAGCTAGTCCTCAGCAAACCTGAATTCAAGAGAAGGTTACGCACAATTGTGAATGTGGCAATTGTTCACAATCTCTCCAGACTTAGGGTGAGTCTCTTGCGCTATCATGCTCAGAAATGATCTTGATTGGTGCTGTCTCAGGAATGTGCTCGAAGGACGCTTGAAAGTTGGTGATCTGCATGTTTGCTGCATGTATTCACTAGTTGCTTCTTGTAGCTTTAGTCGGAATGTGTAACACTATGTGCTATCGTGTGGTTGTCGTTGTACCTGGGTCCTGAAACGGGCGTGTGATGAATGTGTAGCAGAGGGAAACACTCTCAACCATGGCGGACTTAGGCTGGCGGCTTTCACGCATATCGAATAAGATTATACAGGAAGCTAGCAGCCCGTGTATAATGAGTTGCGGTTTGAAAGAAGCGGCCAGTCAACAGAAGGGAGGGATAAAAGATTTTACTGACCCCGGACCTATAATAATACAAACAAGGTTGAAAGGAAATGTGAGATTTGCTGAAGAGTATAGTACATGTACATTACGCGCCTTATGTGGCAAGCCACGCGCGGCGCCAATGTCTGAGCGAACTCGCTAAGTTTTGCAAAATGTAAAGCTTCTAAATAAGGAAAGTCCTCAAAGCCTTTGCACAACAGACCAAAACAACGCTTACCCTCGTCTTCTGAACTCTGCTCTCATGCCACAACGGCGAATCTTAATATGAATGCAACCCACGCATGATGCGTGCACCTCTGAAAAGTTATCGTAAGCGTGTATCGTTGATATGGCTATCTCAAACCGATACGTAATGTATTACGATCTTCCTCACAGTATGACTGATGACGCGGACGGACCACCTAGTACAGAAAATGCTTCCCTCGCCTTGCATCATAAGGCTATTACTGGCTGCGCACCTCTGTCCTATTACCAGCCAGCTCGTAGAATCTCCATGTAAGCGCTAGGTCGAAACCATCTCAAAAGCATTGTGGTATGATGCTTTGGATGGTTCCATTACTTATCACCCCTTCAAAGTACCGTATCAAAGTAAGGACTACGCTGGTTCGTGACGCAGTGGACACACAAGGTAAGCGTCTTTGCATGTTTACAATAAAAATGCGACTGACCCTACGCATCAAAACTTTCAGATCTTTGTGATTCTACCGTGACGCACCTCCTTGCCTGCCGTTTCTCTACTGCGCAACTACCCCCCTCTTATGCTCAAGCTCGCTTGTTACTGCTTTAAGCAGGTACCGCTGTCAAAGTTTGGTTGTGGTCAAGTGTGCCGCGATAATGTTTTGAGTCCGCGAGAATCCCATAATTGGAACCTTATCGGAATTATACTTCTCCACATGTGATGTCACCCTCTAGTGGAGAAGGACTGGCACTCACTTTGTCGTCGCATTCTAAGTTTATCAAGGGTCAGTCATGTTTGTGTTCTTGTGGACCGATGCACGCGTGGCGCTACAAAGCGGTGAATTCCACAGGTGCATATCCTATAGGAAAGCGTCCACAGACGCTTACCTTTTCCCGACGTGTTGTCGGGGGATAATGTCAGATCGATGGCTTCAATGCACGACCACAGTCGTCCTTTGTCTATCGTTTGCCCACCCATCGAGAGATATAAAACCCGGTATCGTTCTCTGCTCTATTTCTCTCATCTTCATCTTTACTTTCCAATTGTGTCTCGTCATCTTAGTCACTTCGCTTGTTCAATTCATCAATATGTCTATGTAAGTCTACTCGCATGTCAGGTGGATATCTTTATATGCTAACACTACCTTACGCATTCAGTTCCTCGTGTTACAGCCTTCATATGCCATTCGATAGGTTGGTGTTCGATCTTGAGTTCGAGGACGCGCCTGATCTCATCATTTTTAGCGAGTTTATGCCTATGTCAGATGACCACGTGCCGCTCCCCGGCGATACTGATTTCGTTCCGTTGTCCGAAGAAGACATGGCTAAGTTGTTTGCAGCTCACCAAAGCGGCGAGACGTCCCCCGAAGTGCGCGCCCAGCTGGATGCGTATGTGATTTTACCTCAGTCATTTATTCAAACTCACGGTCGTACAGATTGTTTGAAGAGAGCGACGAATTAATGCGTAGTATAATTAACGAAGACATGCTGGCAGGCCCAGCCGATGCTCACGTTGACAAGTAAGCCAATCTAATTAGCCTACCTGGGCCAAGCAACTCACGTTCAACGACAGGACAAACTATGATGAATTGCCAGCGACGCAACAAGGGTACGTGCCCTCGCAACTGAGTCATCGTTATTGCTCATCTGTTTCTCCAGGACTTGGGCCGATTCACAAAATGTTCAAAATCCTCAGATGTTCAAGTCGTTTCCGACATTGAAGAATTTCACCGTCCCGGTGGCTGGTCTCCCCCAGTTGCCCCACATCGATCAGGGGCTCTACTACCCTTCGCAGCCCTCTGCCGTCCCTCAAGCGCCCCCGCAAGACCATCCTTGGCCCCAGCGTGAATACAACCCTGGATACTTCACGAACGAGCTTCCTGGCACATATACTCAGCCCTCTGTCGCACCGCAAGACCCCGTATGGTCCCAGCATGGATATAATCTTGGATATGATGCCAATGGACCCCCTGGTGCGTATTATTTGCAGCCCTCTGCGATCGTCTCAGCACCGCCGCACCACCACGCTTGGCCCCAGAATGAATACAATCCTGGATATCATGCCAATGGACCCCCAAGTGCGTACTGTTTGCAGCCCTCCGCGATCGTTCCAGCACCGCTGCAAGGCCACGCATTTGCCCAGCATGGATATCATCTCGCTCCCTCCTACTCTTACCAGCAACTTCCCACCATTGCAGGTCCGTCCAACGCGCATTACCCTTCTGCGCCACTCCCCCAAGGTCAATATGCTCCCTTGCAGACGGAATCTAGTGGGGGCTCAAGCGTGGAGCCAACTTCCTTTGTTCTCGACTGGACGGCATCTACCAAGCCTCGTAAGCGTAAAACCCGCCAGACCTCTAATCTTGAAGACGGTCTGAGTTCGTCCGTTCCACCAACAACGCGCAAGCGCAGACGCCCGAACGTCGCCGACGACTACAGACCAGGCAAGTTTGGTCCGTACATGCTAGCGGATGCCAGTGCCACGATCATGACCATGCCTGTTCACGACCCAAAGCCTGTTAACATCAGTAGCCGCAGGACCCATGATCCCAACGGAAATTCCCTCCGAACGAGGAGATTTGGGGCGATGGAACTGGACGATACCTACCCCGATGCATCTGGAAACGTCCATGACCACCACTGGCCACAGTTGACCTGCGTACGCTCATGCGATTGGACCGACCAGCCGTGTGGTCTGTTCATAGAGGTGGACAAGATCCGTATTGAAGACCATCTGTGGTTTTGGCATGGGGTTGAAGCGAAGAAACCTACTCCCTGCCAATTCGAAGGTTGCCCGGACGCAGGGCCGATGATGTATTTGAGCCGTCACATCGAAGGGGTCCACTTCGCTACATCCTACCGATGCGCCTATTGCAAGAAGCTGTCATCGAGGACCGATTCTTTGGCTCGGCATCAGAAGGGGTGCAAACAATTGCTTGCTAGCAGGGCCCACGCTGAGCATTGGAAGTACGAATTCTCTCTTCAAGCGATGATCAAGTCGATTTCTGGATATATCGTTCCTGCCAAGAACGCGACGTAGGATAGCGTCTGAATGTGTACGTCCACCTTACCCCGCATCTGTCACAGCTGTTAACGTTACCCCTTATTTCCGTCCTCTAGTGTCGACTGCAATTCTTGAAAACAACTTCTTTTTACGGCTAATGACACTGATTCCATTCTATCACCGACATTCCTTTAGAATATTCTCTTTAATGCGAACGACGCTCATTGCATTCTATTAGCAACATTCCTTCTGAAATTTGTTTTCTCTACAGTCAACCACACTCGTTTCATTCTATTACCGACATTCTTTCTGAATATTCGCTCCTTTCGTCCTTGCTTAGTACATCTCCCATATGGTTATTGGGTTATTCTTATTGCACACTGGACGTGGTTATCGTATCTTACCATGGCGCTCGGTCTATCTTACATATGGTTATTGGATTTTATGGGATGGAGGTTGGGAGTAGCTATATCGTATCATTTCATGGAACTTGGAGCTTCGTATCGTAATCGTTGTGAATGAAATATATGAATAGTGGAGCTCAGGTGGAGCACGCATACTATGTGGTAGACATGAATCGCTTCTGCGGGATCAAACATTTCGTCCTTGCATATGTTAGATGACGTTACCTGAAACGAAAGTATTCCAGGACCCTAGAATAATAGCGTCCTTTGAGAAGGTAACACTAAACATAAAATCATCTTGGTTCGATTTTGGAAATGTCAACTTCATAATGCATGCTGAAGAAAGTAGAGTAAAAACAACTTAGGAAGCGTGAATGGATGTAATTGTGGGGGTTGGGGATCCTCGCCGAACATGCAATTCCACGATCCCTGGGTTTGTATTCACACGAATGCAACACTATGGCCTCCAGGGGTGCAACACATATCAACCATAGGAAAGATTCCGTTAATGATCGCAGAATCAGACCGATGGCTCTCATGTCGCAGATTGAATAAGATACGGGAGGCTAGCATTCCATGGATCACGAGTTGTGGTCTGAGAGAAGTCAGCAGAAAAACCTGAGAGATAAAGGAATGCACTGACGCATCCAGGATGTCGGTGTACGTGCCCTACATATTGAGCACTTTTGTAAGTCCTATGGGCTCAAATGCCTACTAGTAAAACCTCACAGGAGCAACCAGGGTGATAAGAACATTTGCGAAGGATGCCACTGAAGGACTCTTGTCAGACCTGCATGGGTGCATAAACAAGAAGACGTACTTATGATGCAGGTCATGTATATCATCCCATCGCGATAAAGGATGGTGACGAGGCGACCTCGAGCATCTTTGTAGAAGTTGAATCTCTTGTATATCGTAAGGATCATGAGCACTGTGACACCTCAGGTAAACAGCCCCGGTATTTAGTAGTATCAACTTGAGTTACCTAGCTCATAAATGATCAAAAAACCGTATTGTATGGCGTCACCCTTTCCATTTTCAAACACGCAGCCTGTCTGGTCGACCGCTATGATAAGTCAGCAAAAGTGTTCACTCAATATCATAAAACGCAGATACGTGGAGTCTGAGGACCAGCGATATGGAGGATGCCTGCGACTCTTGTCACTCCAACAGCCCCTAGAATGGAAAACTGTCCAAATACAAATATGAGTGACCGGTGGGTCATCAAGTTGGCACTCACCGCAGCAAGAACGAGAAGCCACACCAACGTTTTCTTGTTCTGATGCCAAAAGGCCCATGTGCGAAAAATAAGCAGGCCTTCAGAGTAGATGATAAGCATACTAGTACTAGTTCAAAACGACAAAAGCGCCAACAGGCCGACCTTCTGCAGCGATGATGCTTATCAGATGTGAACCTTAATGAGTGTTCAATGTCCATGCTAGAGTGTCTGTCCCAGCGCTGCTTACCATATGAAACATTGTCGAAAGTCGCACACTGAAGAAACAGTCAGTGAGAGTCTAATTCAAATCACGAGTTCACAAACACTTGTGTACTTAGACCGGTCAGTCACCGCAGCTTAAATCTCATCAAGTCATGATACATGATGCAAGGACTCGCGACTTACCATACGTGGTCATAGCAGTACCCATCAAGGTAGCATAACGAGTGAGAGTAAACAAAACTCTAACGATGCCCCACTTCTTTCCCCAGATCAACTGGACCTGCGGGCCAATTTAGCATGCATCGGACTCAAATGGGGTCACAAACCTCTTGTAGAAGCATCAAGCAGTAGTCGAAGACCTGGTTCAAAGATGTAGAAAATTACCAGGGATGACCACAGTTCGGATACTCACCACTGCTGCCATTGCTGCAACTATCTCTATCGTCAGACGGGCAGTGTGAGTACTAGTAGCGAAGTGCGTACCTGTGAAATACTATCGATGTGCAAAGGCATTGAAACCTAAGTGCTTGTACTATGGACTGGAAATGAGGATTCACCTGCGCAGTCTGATAACCTACAGTCGTAGCTGACATGGAGAAGACGATGAAAAGTGTTCTTAATATACTAAGTTTCACCTGGCTGCTATTTAATAAAATCTGTCACAGCCCCGAATCCAGCACCGCACATACGATTTCCTTTGGAGTTTGGTCATGAGTTGGACAGGCGGCATCACAAACTCTTCCAAGGATCTCCAATACGTAACGTGCATTTCAATGGTTGTCGAATGCTTGGGCGCATCAGAGAACTGGTGAGAAGAAGACAGTGTAATATACCGTAAGATATAGGAAAGGATTTCGTTACACTGGAATATATGACCATGTAAATGCACCGCAATCAGCATAATCACCGGCAAGAACTCACCAGTCTACTGATGCTCACGCAGCGCTCTTGACTTCCACACATATCCCTCTGCCCACCAGCGATTGTATAATGCATCACTATTGAGAGCGCACAACAGAAGACATTTGCACTCCGAAATTCAGGCAAAGGAAAGACTGTAAACTAAAGTTAGGCATCTTTTTCTGAAAAGGCAATTCCATGTATTATGAGTACTGCCACTGGTACACATGAATAAAGTTCCGAATGGGATGGATACTTACAAAGTATCACGGTAACATTCTGGAGTGGTATACAAGAATATAGATGACCAGATTATCGGGGACTTGCTGTGGGTTCGATCATGTTTGAATGATTGTTGCCTCGTGCACCATCAGATGCATCAAGAACAGCTGTGATGAAACAAATGTTATACGTACAATCATGATGAACCAGACAGATGGTTTCGTCAAAACAGACGATCGATCTCCCAACAGCGGAAGTTAAGGCCTCACGATTGGTGCACCATAGGAACAGGATGAACGTAGCATCAAGATGGAGTACAACAGGGATGCACAAATATATAGATCATAATCAGCCACGATAGATTTGAACCTGCTCGTACAATCATGATGAACCAAGTAAGCGCCAGAAAGATGTATCGATCTCCCGATAGCCGCTCTCAGATTCCCTTAAAGACGCCCGGCCGCAACTTGAAGCTCGCCTTGTATGTACAAATACGTAGATGTCATTGACCCAGAACCGTGAGCTCGGCAAATAGTACTCACTTCAAGACTATCATGAGTTGATCATGAGTAACGTTTGCTGGTGCGGATGGCGGAGCTTTGAACGGAAGTTGAATTTCACACGTTTAGGAATAAGTGTGTCGGGTAGCGATTTCTTGCAACCTTACATCCGTCGTCGTCGTCGTCGTTCACCAGAAGAATGCTTACTGCTCGCGGCGTTACCCGCCTCTCACGGAGAGCAGCCAACACTGCAAGAAACACAAGCCGGTTCATCAACACCGCTGCTTATTCTTTGTCGCGTGTTGCCGTTCCTTCCTCCTCCCCAAAACAAAACGCAGCCGTTCGTCCTTCGCGTGTATCAGCGCAACACGGTTAGTTCTAAGTCTGGGATTGTCATCTCTGGCACTTACTGAGTTTTTCTGGCCTTTTTCGCGTCATTCTATTTGAACCGGGTGAACTCGGGTTATATAGCACGGACATATGCAACGGAAGCGAAGGGAGCTGCTGGGACTGTGAAAACCGTCATTGGTGCCGTCGTCGACGTTCAGTTCGAGACCGATGCTCTTCCACCCATTCTCAACGCACTGGAGGTTTTGGACTTCCACGGTGGCCGTCTTGTCCTTGAGGTCGCATCACATCTGGGCGAAAACTCTGTCCGTACCATTGCTATGGATGGTACCGAGGGTCTCGTCCGTGGACAAAGGGTAGTTGACACCGGTGCTCCTATTCAAATTCCTGTCGGTGCCGCAACTCTCGGCCGCATCATGAACGTCATCGGTGAACCAATTGACGAGCGTGGTCCTATAAAAGGTGTCAAACTCTCGCCAATTCACGCCGACCCTCCTCCATTCGTCGATCAGTCGACCACTGCTGAGGTTTTGGAGACCGGTATTAAGGTCGTCGACCTTCTTGCTCCTTATGCCCGTGGTGGTAAAATTGGTCTTTTCGGTGGTGCTGGTGTCGGTAAGACTGTGTTGATTCAGGAGCTTATCAACAATGTTGCCAAAGCCCATGGTGGTTTCTCCATTTTCTGCGGTTGGTTAAACTTGTTTTTTTGATCACATCAGGCCTTATTTCCTTTATTCAACAGGTGTTGGCGAACGTACTCGCGAGGGTAACGATTTGTACCACGAAATGATTGAAACTGGTGTTATCAACCTCGAGGGTGACTCGAAGGTAGCTCTCGTATTCGGTCAAATGAACGAGCCTCCTGGTGCACGTGCTCGTGTGGCGCTTACTGGCCTCACTATCGCCGAGTACTTCCGTGATGAGGAAGGCCAGGATGTGCTGCTCTTCATCGACAACATCTTCCGCTTCACTCAGGCAGGTTCCGAGGTGTCTGCTCTCCTTGGTCGTATCCCCTCCGCCGTCGGTTACCAACCTACACTCTCAACTGATATGGGTGGCATGTATGTGAACTACTGTGTTCGCTCTAGTATTGATTTGACGTGCGATGTAGGCAAGAGCGCATTACAACCACTAAGAAGGGTTCAATCACTTCTGTGCAAGCAGTCTACGTGCCCGCTGATGATTTGACTGATCCTGCTCCTGCCACCACTTTCGCTCACTTGGACGCCACCACTGTACTGTCGCGTGGTATTGCCGAGCTTGGTATCTACCCCGCTGTGGATCCCCTTGACTCTAAGTCACGTATGCTTGACCCCCGTATCGTTGGTCAAGAGCATTACGATGTTGCCACCGCCGTTCAGAAGATTCTTCAGGACTACAAGTCTCTGCAGGATATCATTGCCATTCTGGGTATGGATGAGTTGTCAGAAGAAGACAAGTTGACGGTCAGTGATACAAAGACAGAAGCAATGCTGAATGCTGACGAAGACTAGGTCGAGCGTGCTCGTAAGATCCAGCGTTTCATGTCGCAACCCTTCCAAGTTGCACAGGTTTTCACGGGTTACGAAGGCAAGCTCGTGCCTTTGAAGGACACCATCCGCTCTTTCAAGGAGATCCTTTCTGGTACACACGATAACTTGCCCGAGTCTGCATTTTACATGGTACGGATAGGTGTATAAATTTGATTTGGTATTTGTTAACGTATTGAACAGGCCGGCACGATCGAGGATGTCAAATCCAAGGCTGAGCAGCTCGCCAAGGAGATAAGTGGAAACTAGATAAGACATATTGTACCTGCTCTACTTACTCGTCCATAACTGCTATCCACGTCGAATAGAGCTGGTTCATGGATTAAAGATATCATTGTATCTATATTGTGCTTCTGGCAAGATGTGTGCAGTGCCTTCCTTTGTTTCGATAGTTTAAACGTTTAGAGTCCGTACTGAGTTTGTGCATGCAAGTGCACTAGCGTCGGATAGTACACTCAGCTCGGTGGTGAATGAACACTGTAGGACTTTTGTCATGAAGGCTCACGCATTTTGTTGGATCCATAACCCATATGCCTGCGGCGCGTCACGGTTGTGTGGAGTCGACGCGTGAAGTCACTGACACGTGACCTGGACATGGTTCGAAATGGTCGCCAACGCGAATGTTGTGGATGCCACATCTCTCATCGCGCCAAACATGTCCTCATCATCGTCTCTAACGTTAAGCACGCTATTATCAACACTACACACACACCTCAATGCCCAAACCCAACTTTTACCGACACTCCACGTTCAACTCGGCCTACCACAAACCGCCCTGGAAGATGAACTGCAGACATTACAGCATACCCTGACCAAGGCCGTTGAGTCTCAGATAGAGGTGCGGAGGAAACAAGTAGATGATTGGATAGGAAAATGCGAAGGAGTGGAGTTTGGTTGTGCTCGGTATTCGAGAGCGCTGGGCACCCATGCTAAAGTTGCTGGATCGCTCAGTGATCTGAAAGCCGAGAAAGTCTTGCCAAGGAGATATGAAAGCGCCACTGTGTACCAGGAGAAACTAAGACAGGTCAGTCGGATCTTTTGGACGCGTGATCTACTGAGATGACAGTCTCTTAGATCTATCACACGAAACTCGAGCAGCTCACAACGTTGACCAATCGCCTGAATGCCCTCGCACGGACGCTGGGCTCCCATTTCTTTCAACAAGATATCTTGACTCCCGCAGTTGTTGCTACTGAGGAACTAGACAACCCTACAGCACTACGAGATGTTATGCCTGAGCGTTTTTCCAAACTTGAAAAGGAGCTTGTACGAGGAAAAGGCGAAGTGGTCAGCCAGTCTTTCCTTGGTTATCTATATATCACTGATCACAGGTTTGCAGTTGAAGCGACTAACTCAACTGGGTGAAGTCTTCACCCAGATCGACTGGCTTTACTCAGAATTAGGTATCGATCCTCCCCCACCCACTGTCACGACACCGGTTGCCACCTCATCTTCAACACTTGCTGTACCGAGATATTCTCTGCCACGATCTTCATCCGCCGGTAGTACGCGTCTCAACTCCAGTGCAGATCCATTTGCGTTCTCAACTGCGGGACCATCGACGCCCACTCCTTCCTCGATCGGGACATCTGACAACCACATGCTTTGCCCATCGTCCTCTCCCCAACAGCCCTCTATAGCCCTCCCAGAAGTTTCCGAGTTCCCCAACGAAAATGAATACCTCAGGTCCCTCGGACGCTTTATCGAGCTACTCGACTCATCGCCGCAAGACTCGCCACCTGGAACAATCTTAAACTCATGTGGTATCGAACCGACGCAGGGGATCTTGGCTTGGGGTGATAGACTGCATGCCGAACTGAATGAACTCAAGAGGCGCCGAGAAGTACACATCCAAGCCATGTATGACCAACTGGAGGCGCTTTGGCGACGCATGGGTGTGGGCGAGGAGGCTATGGATGGTTTTGTCGAGGCGAATCGCGGGACGACGCCTTCTGTGGTCCAAGCGTATGAAGAAGAACTGGAGCGCATGATTGACTTGAGGCGCGAGAGAATGGGCGAGTTTATCGCTAATGCTCGCACAGAAATTGAGAGCCTGTGGGAGGAGCTCATGGTAGGAGAAGATGAGCGGAATGATTTTGCGGCATTCGCTGATGGTGAGTTTGTTTCTGTCACCCTCTTCATGGAGTTTAACTGAGGGGATGTCGTAGATGAACATACAGAAGATTTGCTGAGCCAGCATGAGCACGAGATCGCCCGCCTAAAAGCGGAAGTGCGGCTCAAGACGCCACTACTGACATCGATCAAGAAGTACATGGAGATTTGTGAGGAAGAGAAGGAGCTAGAGCGTGTAGCCAGTGATCAGACACGCCTTCTAGGAAGGGGTGGGGGACGAGATCCTGGTAGACTGCTCCGGGAAGAGAAGATGCGAAAGAGGGTTGGGAAAGAGAAGCCGAAGGTTTGTCAATTCCTATTCATGCTCTCGACCTTCCTTCTAATTGTTTTCCGAACAGCTTGAACAACAACTACTGTCATCGCTGCCTACATGGGAACAAACGCACGGACGAGCTTTCCTCGTACATGGCGAAAGCATGCTCCAGTTGTTGATGGAGAATGCATCGGCGAACGAACAGGAGAATCGCAAAAGAACGCCTACTTCTCAATATTCTGCGCAGGCGCTCAATAGGGGGGCTTCGCAAAGCCTGAAGCCCGCCGCAGCCGCCAGCAACGGGGCAAATGTCGCTTCCAAAGGAGGATATGTCCCTGGTAAATCCAACGCATCTCATCACGGCGTGGTAACACCCGCCGTTCGGCCAGGATCATCGACAGTCTTCGAATACCCACGGAACTAATAAACGACAGAAACTCATCGATGGCACACATCGTACTGTAGCACGTCCAGGATCGCCTACAAGGGGCCGGACACCCAGCGGCAATTCAGCTCTCCCTCGACCAACCATGCAAAACGCGCCGCATATGCCTTCCCATTCAAAGAACTCGCAGGGGTACGCTGCACTTGGATGGGGCCGCAATCCGTCGACGATGCCACGATCAACATCACATACGAGTGTAACACATCTTAGCTCAAGCGTGAGCTCGCACTATCTTTCGAGCTCACGGTCGTACAACTCTGCCTCGATGGCGTCCAGTCATTCTAGGGAGTCAGCAGCTAAAAAGACGACGGGTCGTATTCGCAAGGAGAGCTTCAAACCACGGCCGAGTATCGATGGTGGTAGTGGAGGTGCTGTGGGATGGAAGAGCGGGTTTCGGGGGATAAGCGTTGCAGAGGAAGACGGATGCTGAGTACGACCTCGTGCATTCCTTTTTGTCTTTTTTTATTTTCTTTCAATGACCACTTTCGTTTATCGTTCAATGCAAGCGCAGTTAGCTTGACGGTCTAAATTTACGTTATTTGTGAAGTTATAAACTATGTATACCTTGTTGTACTCTACCTTCCTCGACGAAGCTTTGTTGGGAAATTTCGTTTCGTTCCCGTTATGAATCGTAATGCATGATGCATGATGGACTGGCAAATTCTCGGGGTGAATATTTGAATGTGTGTACATGATACTTATCGGTTTAGTCAGTTTTATGTAAACTTTCAGGTACCTAATATAGCGTAGTCAGCCAATAAAACATCGTTTATCGTTTATAATGCCCGTGATGCATGTCATATTGCATGAGCCCCGCCGGGATGGCACTTGGTCACTCAGCGCCAATGGAGTTACTAAAGGGTTGATTCTCTTCAAGGCATCGACGACGTCGCATCGTAACACACACAACAGGTCTACGTGTATTTTTGACGTTCCATGGGTCAGACCAGTCATACTACGTGAATAGGTTCGAACTTTCTCTTGCGGCGGCTAGGGAATATTAGATTCGCAATCATGCCAAGCAAGCTTGTTTCATACTAGTACACTGATCACAAGCCCAAGATTGATCATGTGCGGCGTACAGTGGGCGCAAACAGTGATCGTCGCATCCCTCTATATAGGGTGCTCTTTTGAGTCTTATCGATCAAGCGCTCTCTTGCTTTTTCACTTTCCATCACTCCTGCAACTCACCAATGTCTACCTCGCGAAATGCGCCAGCTGGTACACGTCAGGCATACCCTTTTCGCCCTCCCAGAGTAACAGAGTCCTCACAACCTGACAACTCCTTCATCCTCAAAGACCTTGGGGACAAGGTAGCCAAGTTTAAACGGAGCACGGCTACTCTTAGTCCTGTGGAAATTACAAACGTCAAGCCCATCGCTTCATACTCGTGGATCGAGGCTGCAACCCCAACAATTGCTGTCCCTGGTAAGCATATAGTCAATGTCTGAGTAAGATCAGGTTGATCAGCGACCTGCTGATGTCGCACAGGTTCTCCCAGAGTCTGGTTCACAGGCCCCCAGCGCGTCCCAGCTGACTCTGGAACACGCTTTGTGGATCAAAATGCATTCTACATGCGAAAAATGTCTCCCCTCATTCCCCTATTCGCAGCCATCGATGACATGAATCCTAGTTTCAACTTCAAGCAGTTCGACTTCATCACAGACCGCAATAACCTTCGCAAGCTTCTCCGCTGGGCTAGTGGCTCACCGGATGAGAAAGACTTTCGTATCGATATCGATGTAGCGGGTACAACGTGCTTGTTCACACGCCTTGAGGCACAGAACACGGACACCGTACAAGGCTTTATGGGGTATGCTCATGAGTACGAGAAAGCGGCCACGAGAGTCACTCGCGGCTGCGAGAGAGCTACTGGTCATCACCGGATGATTTCCATTGTAAGATACTTGCATTCTTGGTCGGGTCACTTATCGCAACATATCGTATTTGACAGGACATTGGTGAACTGAAGGTCCTCCTTCGTTTCACGATTGAGGCATGCACTTCTTCCACCAATGACACGAACGACGAGGACGACCTCCTAGCAGCTTTCTCAGGCCTGGGTATTGGCGGAGCGTCTGTCTCTAGCAGCCGGGACACTAAGAAGCCTCAAGCCACGGTGCCAACCGTTCGTGGCGTGACGATCAGACAAACAACTCCACGGAAAGTTGTCCCACAATCCTCTCTCATCGAGCTCAAAACACGCGCTGCCCGCCGAGAGATCGACTGGGCAGAAGTATATCCACAGCTCTATCTTTCTCAGACAGCATTCCTGTATATCGCGAAGCACGAACGCGGCAGCTTCAACACCCTGGAAAAAGTAGAGCTTGGCTCGGAGAGCATGCAAACTCATGCCCGCCGTACTCAGCAGGGTGTCGCGAAGTTGAAACTCGTGCTTCAGGATATTTTGGATGCTGTGAAAAAGGAAGATGTGGGGGTAGGCTTGAGTTTGGTGGCAAAGGATGGCAAGTTGGCATTGTACAAGCGCCATGAGGGGACTGGAAAAGGTCCGGGAAAAGATATCACAGACAAATTCAATTGATGTGGGATTACTATCCTGGTAAGTATCAAGTGGTACCAGAGCGACCCTTCGACAACTCGCGGTGTAGGATATGGCTGAAGTGATACTTTGGTATTGTGATCGAATTTGAAAGACGTACTTTTTGCTGCACACAGGATTGATGCAATGTCAGGGATTTGATCAGTGGCTTGTCCATGTAAGCATTCAGTGCAAGACCTCAAGCAAGATTGGGCCTGAGTTGAATGTTGATCGCCGGAAACTCACGTGGCCGACGCTGAGGAACAAGGCTGAGAAACGATTGAGGAACAGAACAGAACCGCGTTCTTGTTGCGGACGAGGACGCGACGGATACCGGCTAACTTCTTCATCGTGATTGATAGAATACATTCTATGTTTGTTCTACAGGAAGGAAATGCCCGCCCTTTCATCTCCTAGGCTATTCACAGCCACTGTGGGCGATGCTACGTAGCTTCGCAACGATTCGATTCGATCGCAGATCGCAATAGCCCTCACAAGCTTCTTCGCTACTCATCAGATGAGAAAGACTTCTGCAATATGTGTTCACTCCGAGTCATACAACAGAACATACATGTGTACAACCGAGTTCAATACCGGGGACAGGCTCTGCGTACAGGATGTCAGATCCTAGATAACAGTCAATCAGGATTGATTTTTTCTAGACTTCCTCATCAATGTGTTTGTTAGCACAGAGAACGCATATACCCTGGGTAGCAGAGTAGCTCCGAGACCACTAAAATACAAAAGACGCGGAAAATATAAGCTCAAATGACAAGCGCTATCAGCATGACTCACAGAACTACCAGCAGGACTAGGCTTCATCTGGCTCGACAGCTGTCACACTGCCTCCAGGCCGCGCTTGGAACTCATGTGAACGGGATAGTAATTCCACTGAATTCGTCGATTGGTCAGTGAGAAAGTGCGGTTTCTCCCTGCTCATTTGAAGATTGAATAATATTCGAGAAGCAAGAACACTGTGCGCAACAATCTGAGGTCTGAAATGAGGAATGTGAGCTTTCGACAACATATATCCTTGACCAGACTGACGTGTTTAGAATCTCGGTGTCCGAGAGCTAGGAGGTCACCTCAGTTCTTCGAGGTCAACGAAAACAAAGAAAGAACTCACAGGCAACACAACGGTAACGATCATATTGAGTGTAGATATCACTACAAAGTTGTCAGCATGAAATCAACAATAATAATAGCGGTAATACTCGTGACGCAGATCATGTAGAGCAGTCCATCACGATAAATGCTCTTCACCAGCGCACTACTATGAGAACCCAGATAGTGTGAATATCTCAAAAATACAGTGATGGATATGAGAACTAGAAGTGAATTATCAAGTGGGGAATTTTAAATCAAATAGTCGTCTCACCTATCTCGAAGAACATCAAGAGTCCATAAGGGAGGGCGCTACTGATTCTAAGAGACCCCACAAAAGCGCAAGGCGGGGTGACTGAAAGGATATGAATACAAAGACTAAAGAGTGAACCTTGAAACCTCACCTGGGCCCGGGATATCCAAATCGATGGGGGCAGCACTTAGAACCACAGACCCCAGCAAGATGGCCTGCGCATACGGATCAGTGGCGCACAGTGAAATAGATGTATCGTTTACCAAACCAAAGGAGAGAAGAAAGATAAGATAAGCCCTTTTATTGCCAGAGAAGGCGTAGACCCTGACAATCAATAAACCTATTGCGCAAGTGTAAATGCATGCTGTAACATAGTATGTGAAAGCCAACCTTCCGCGGCAATGATCCCCAAGAAATGTATGCCTGCGAAATGTCATTGCCAAGTCATGTCATGAGCTAGTATGTGGACCAACCATTTACAGCGTTGTTAAAGGGTATGCACTATATGTTGTTGTGAGTTGCAATTGGCGCTGTCACGGTGCAGATCAAAGGTGTGCTCACATCTTGCGCGCCCCATGTCTTGATAGCGGCTGGTTAGGAATCAGCTTTTGTATAGTAGCGCACACAGGCGTATCTCACAGTAAGAGGTCATAAGCGCACCAGCAAAAGGTGCATATCGTGAAATTGTGAAGGCGGTCCGAACTATTCCCCACTTCCGCCCCCAGGTCCATTGGACCTACAAGAAATATTAGCACCAATGTACGAGTGGTTAATTCATCTGACTTCAGAGTGTAAGGTGACAAAGTAGTCATAAATCTGGACATACATCAGAGCTGTGATAAGACTGAAGCAACCCAACTTACTAGGATTGCTGATGCAGCGACTTTGCAGAGTTGTGAATAACGATAAGATTGATACCAGCACGACCTTACCGTTAGTATACTTGAATAGTAATAGTTGAAGAGATTAGAAAAATGCTGGGCAAAAAGTAAGATTGGATTACCTTGGCTAACTGCAAACCGAAGGTGTCCGGGACTGACATTTTCAAGTGGGATAGTGGATGAATGGAAGTCTACAGCAAGCAGTTGTCAATAAATACTGCAGTGTATACTTGCAGATCACGGCTGTGACCATCAACGTATCGAGGACTGTGAGTGTGCAGTGACCTAGAGCGCTCGGCATTCAGATCTCGGATTGGTGGCTTGATGATCACGATGTCATGATGCATGGATTATAATAGTCACACTGTGTGATCGGAGCACACGGGTTCGACTTGACATGTGACATGATAAGCCTGCATGTCGTTTTACTTGGCAAAAACTCAAATTTAGCACCCGTAGCACTAGGTGTACGTACCACCATCTGAGTCACGGTGGCGACTCACAAAAAGGAGGTTTGGGAGCGTTGGATTTGGTATAGATCAGGTCGTGCTCACGTACAGGGCAGGACTGTACCTAAATCGTACTTTTTGTTGATGGAGAGGCGCCGTTGAGCCGAGCCTGGGCTATGTTATCGCGACAACATCTGGAGTCCCAGGGTAGGCTTTACTACATATAGGGATGTTGACATGGGGTCTCAAATCTCAAACCTAAATCAAAAAAGACTTCCTCATGTTCGTTAGCGCAGAGAACACATACACCTAAGGAGTAGAGTAGCTGGCCACTAATATGAAAGACGCGGAAAATACAAGTTGAAATGTGTGAGGATAGTAGTCAGGAAGCTCAAATAACAAGCGCTATCTGTATGACTCGCAGAACTATCAGTAGGTCTGAGCTTCATCTGTCTGGCTAGCTGTCTCACTACCTCCAGGTCGCGCTTTGAATGTATGTGGACGGGATAGTAATTCCATTGGAGTCGATCGGTCAGTGAGCAATAGCGGTCGCTCCATGCTCACTTGAAGATTGAACAGTATTCGAGAAGCAAGAACACTATGCGCAACAATCTGAGGTCTAGAATGAGGGATGTGAGCTTTCGACAGCGTGTATAATTGAGCAGACTAACGCGTTTAGCGTTTCGCTGTAAGAGAGCTAGGAAGTCTACTCAGTTCTTGAGGTCAACAAAACAAAGAAAGAACTCACAGGCAACACAGCGATGATGATCACATTGAACATAGATATAACTAAAAAGATGTCAGCGCGAAATTAATAGTAACAATGGTGTTAATACTCATGATGCAGAACATGTAGAGTAGTCCGTCACGATAGATACTCCTCACCAACGCGCTATGAGAACCTAGATAGTGTCGATATCTCAAAAATAGAGTGGTGGACATGAGAACTAGAAGTAAATTATCAAGTGGGGAATTTTAAATAGAATAGTCGCCTAACCTATCTCGAAAAACATCAAGAGTCCATACTGGACGACCATGCTACGAGTCCCTTCGAACATACAAGGGGGGCCAACTGAAAGGAGATGAATACTAAGACTGAGAAGTGAGCTTTGAGACCCTTGCCTCCTGGGATGTTAAAATTGATGGGGGTAGAACTTGTAATCACAGATGCCACCAAGATGACCTGCACCACACCGGTCAGTGGCACACAGGGAAATATATATAAGGTTGTACCAAACCAAGGGGGATAAGAATGATAAGATAAGCCTTTTTATTGCCAGAGAACGCATAGACCCTGAAAATCAATAAAACTGTTGTCCGAGTGTAAATGCACACTGTAACGTGATATGCAAAAGCCAACCTTCAGAGGCAATGATGCCCAAGAAATGTATGCCTGCGAAATGTCATCGCCAAGTCATGTCATGAGCTATGTGGACCAACCATTTATAGCATCGTTAAGGGGTGCACACTATATGTTGATGTGAGTTGCAATTGGCGCTGCACAAATCAATGGTGTACTCACATCTTGCGTGCCCCATGTCTTGATAGCGTCTGGTCAGGAATCAGCTTTTGCGTATTAGCGCGCACCGGCGTATCTTACAGTACGAGGTCATAAGCGCACCAGCAAAAGGTGCATATCGTGAAATCGTGAAGGTAGTCCGGATGATTCCCCACTCCCGTCCCCGAGTCCATCGGACCTACAAGAAATATCAGCACCAAGGTACTACGAGTGGCTGATTATTCTGACTTCAGAATGTAAAGTGACAAAGTAGTCATAAATCTGGTCATATATCAGAGCAATAATGAGACTGAAGAGACGCAACTTACTAGGATTGCTGATGCAGCGACTTTGGAGAATCGTGAATAACGATAAGATTGTTACCAGCCCGACCTTACCGTTAGTGTACTTGAATAGTTGGAGAGATTAGAGAAAGGTTGTTCAAAAAGTACGATTGGATTACCTTGGCTAACTGTAAACCGAAAGTGTCTGGGGCTGACATTTTCGAGCGGCACACTGGGTAAATGGAGGTCTGCCGCAGCAAGCAGTTGCCCATAAGTACTGTAGTGAGCCGCACTGCAACACGGCTGTGGTCGTCACTGCGCACTGTGCATGATCAGATTCTTGAGTATTTTGAGCCTGCATTTTGTTGAGAGTGGATACTATTTATAGGTATTTGATAATTCGGAACGCGAGATGAAGAGACGGTGAGTCCAGACTTGCTTTTGATCACATGCAACTAATCTTACAGTCGTGACTTTTCGAAAACTCAGCGCGAGCATGATAAACGAATAGCTAGTAGAGAGTTACTGGTTAGGCCTCCTATGGGGGAGAGGTACAGGATGGTATCAAGTTATGTATTTATGCTGTGCAGTTTCTCACCGTCGCCGCGAGTGGCTTGCATCCAAATCAGGGACGCTCACTCAATATTCAATTTGACTAAAATCCACTGGATTACGGTCTAGAATCTCTAACACGACCTCAGGCTGGCCAGGGCGATGCTATCTAAAATACCAAAGTCAAGAGTCAAAAAACCAAAGGTAAGAAGGAGCGTCTCTAGACGTCACTATTGGATATCTGATCTAATGTAGACCGACCTACTACATGCTGAACCCGCTTCTGAAATTAAGGAGTTCCGGGACGAAGATGTGAGCCAACTGTTGGATGTCACTATAGCAGCAATCAACATCACGCAAAACCTCATACCTATTGACCTGGCGAAAGGTATACTCGCAACTGTTGCCAATATCCTGATGATCGCGCAGGTGTGTCGGTGTAACTCTGGAAAATGAGCTTAAAAGATCCTCACATTCGTACAGTTGGTGATCAAGAACAAGTCCGCTTTCCTGGCGCTAGTCAACAAATGCAAGACCATCAGGGAAATCCTCGAGAGAGTGACCAAAGACACTACCAACGACAATCTTCCAGGATACTTGGCTCATGCTTTATCGGAGCTTAACTCGTAAGCAAACCAAATTTAACCGTCACTAGAAACTGACAATGTCAAGCAGGTCAGTCAACGATATCAACAATAAAGTGATTTCAAGGAAGGACCAAGGATTGTTGAAGAGGTTCTTCTCTGCAACGATTGATCGTGACCAGATTGCTAGTTGGGAAATGAACATAGACCGTGTCCTCGTACTCTTCAATGTACGTCTTTGTGACTCGAGCTGAACTTCTGCTGCTGAATGTCATCTCAAGACTGAAGCGATCGCTGGCATTGCCATGAAGGTGGAAAGGCTTGCTCGGGGACTCGACGGCAATACAACTAGTGCCAATGTTCTAAAGTGAGTTGTTATTTTCTGCGGGTTGTGGATGTCCCCTAAATGCAGTCAGGTATCACTCAATTGAGCCTCCATCGCGACCTTCTATGTTTTATGGCCGCGATGATCTCGTGGCAGAGTTGACAGCTCTCATTGTCAACGGTGAACACATTGCATTGATCGGTCCCGGAGGCATGGGAAAGAGTTCTCTTGCCAAAGCCATCCTTCACGAGCCACTTATCATCGAAAAATTCCCTGACCGGCGCTTCTTTGTGACTTATGATGGTCTAGATCCTTCAACTATCACATTCGAAACTTTTATGGCTCATTTTGCGAGAGCCCTTGGCATAGAGATAACCGGTCCTGATCCTTTGTGCCCAATATCTACCTTTCTTCATTCTGCTAGCGCCCTTGTTGTCCTCGACAATGCCGAGACCTTTGAAGAGGCCAGTGCGTTGTCAGCGCTCGAAAAAATACCACCGGCAATTGCGAAGATTGCAGACATCCGTGGCGTCATCCTGATCCTCATGTCACGCAGTCGAAGGAATGCAACAGATGTGTTATGGAGAATGATGGACATACCGCCATTGGACTTGAGTTCTGCAGAAAGACTGTTCTTTCAAACTTATCCTCGCGCCCGTTGCAGCGATTCCGAGGAAGAAATAAAGGACTTGCTCAGGGAGTTAGATTTTCACCCCCTTTCTATTAATTTACTCGCACACACTGCGTGGCAAAATGACTGGTCTCCAGCCATACTACTGAAGAGATGGAACAATCGGCCCAGTGCTGTGCTCAACCCCGGCAAGGGAAAGCTCCAAAGCTTGTCAGACACCATGCAGCTGTCACTCGACTCACCATCCATCCAGGGTCTTGGCGAGGATGGTCGTCGTACTTTAGCCATAATCGCCTTCTTGCCGCAGGGTCTCAACGACAACCTGGCTAGCAATTTGTTGCCATCGCTCCAACAAGTCGACACTATATGCGATGTTCTACGCATGCAATCTCTTGTTTATCGTCAAGACAACTTCATCAAGGTACTCGCACCCATTCGACATTATGTGCAAGATTCGTTGCCACTACCTGACTCCACACGTTTGCAAGAGATACGCACCTTCTACTATCGCACTGTCCAGCAGTGTTCGAAAGAACAAGACGGTCATGCTAATATCATTATCTCGGATCACTTCAACATTGAGCGTGTCGTGGCTTTCGACCTCGCCTGTATCCCTGAAGAGACTTATCGCGCTTGCTCAGAATTTTTGGAGTGCTTGATGTGGCATCTTCCTCGTCCAACCACCCTTACCCCCGCTATTTTCAATGTCATCGAGAACTCCTTCACGTATGAGCTCAAAGCATACTGCTTGTGGGATCTCGGCTACCTCTACAACACACTCTCCCAGCTCACAGACGCAATGAAGATTTTCAAAGCTGCTGGGGCACTCTTTCTCGCCACCGGCAACCACAAAATGGTGGCCGAATGCGTTACCAGTTGTGCAGACAGATACAGATGTCAAGGCCGCTTCATTCAATCCCAACAGCTTTTAGAGGGCTTTCAACGCTCCGAGTCGTGGGAGTATCTCAGTGAACCAACGAAAGACAGAGTTTGGTATTTCTTGGATAGGGCTCGGATGTGCACATTCACAGCATCTGCGGACGAGTTATTCGTGAAGTCCTCGGACTCGAAAGGTCACCTCTGTGGCTTGGAGTCTAAGATTTGGCACTGGCGGGCCAAATTTTGCTACGGAGGAGACATTGTTCACGTGAAAGAGCGCTTAGAAAACCTTCTCCTACAATGCACATGTACTCAAATCTGCTTCGCCCGCCGCGATGCGCATCTGAGGCTTGCAGTGGTGGCATTTTGCGAAGACAGGCTATCCGAAGCCATGGGTATCCTACAGAAAATCGTAGAGATGGCTGAGGGAGAACGTTCACACCGAGTCTTGTGGTATACCGTGTTGAAGGCTGTTGTTGCAAGCAAGCAGGGGGATCATGCCCTTGCGAGGGAGCTCGTCTACAAAGCCCCAGGATCCCTCCAACTCTTTGAGCTGCACAGTGCATTCGTATTTCTCCATAGATCTTATTTCTCAGCATGCATCGAGCTCACTGCGGGCGCATATGACAGGGCCGAGTCCCATTTCACCGCCACCATTGAAGGTTGTGATGTCCAAGGACATCTTGATTTCAAGGCATACAGCAAACGAGGACTGGGGGAGATTGCCTTTGTGCGTGGTGACTTCGCGTTGGCTGCACGATACTTCACAGAAACACGGTCTTTGTGCACTGAGATGGGAGTGCCTGAGCGACATTTGTACAGTTGCGATCCGTTCGCTGTTCTGCCAGACAAATTTATTGCATGGACACTATTTATAGAGGGTCAGTCGCCATTTGCGAACATTATGTAGATCATATACATGTAACAATCAGCCTGCCATTACGATTGTACGAGTAGCTTCATCATGAAATAGTATCTATGACAAAACAGTGATGAGACGAACGCGGGAGATGAGTGAAGCGGAACGCATGGAACTTCAAATGAGTACTGAGATTGCTATGACACAGGAAGACTGATACAGATGTGTTACATAGAGAACGTGTCTGTTCTTCTTATCGCCAGTCCATTCAGTCAATTTTGATGTAGAACCGGTACCCCGGACATGCCAAATGTCCGTAGATTGTGTCCAGCCGGTCACCGGCCGATGGTAGTAAATATATGTAGATATGGTACTGGCCAGTCCTGATTCTGCTCATGTGTCTTAGTGTAGCAGCAGGTCTGGCCAGGCATCTTAGACACCAGAACACTGGCCAGACCCGATGTTACATGTATGTATGATTGGTCTGGCCAGCTTTATATTTCCTGACCAGATTGTAGCACCAGGTCTGGCCGGTCATGCAGGGCCAGTTCTGGCCGGGCATAGATAAAATCACAATGTCAGCCAGAACTACTATAACCTATGGATAGAATAGGTCTAACCAGGCATCTTAGACATAAGAACACTGGCCAGACCTGGTGTTACCTGTGGGTAAGGCCTGTCCCACCGGGTTCATATTTTCTTAGCACATACTGGCCAGACCTGGTGGTACATGTGGGTATGGCCCATCTGGCTGGGTTTATATTTTCTTAGCACATACTGGCCAGACCTGGTGTTACCTGTGGGTATGGCCTGTCTGGCCGGGTTTATATTTTCTTAGCAAATACTGGCCAGACCTTGTGGTACATGTGGGTAAAGCCTGTCCGGCCGGGTTTATATTTTCTTAGCACATACTGGCCAGACCTGGTGGTACATGTGGGTATGGCCCGTCCGGCCGGGTTTATATTTTCTTAGCACATACTGGCCAGACCTGGTGGTACATGTGGGTATGGCCCGTCCGGCTGGGTTTATATTTTCTTAGCAAATACTGGCCAGACCTGGTGGTACATGTGGGTATGGCCCATCCGGCCGGGTTTATATTTTCTTAGCACATACTGGCCAGACCTGGTGTTACCTGTGGGTAAAGCCTGTCCGGCCGGGTTTATATTTTCTTAGCACATACTGGCCAGACCTGGTGGTACATGTGGGTATGTCCTGTCTGGCCAGGTTTATATTTTCTTAGCACATACTAGCCAGACCTGGTGGTACATGTGGGTATGGCCTGTCCGGCCAGGCTTATATTTTCTGAGTTCAAGTTGTAGATATACTATCTTAAACAAAGCATGCGCAAGATACAAGTGTGCTAATATTTCATTGCTTTCTTGGAGGGCAGCCTAGCTCTGGAAGAGCGACGGATGTCGTCAGTCTTGGTGATCTTGTGTGGCTTTCCAGATTCACCCGACTTGCTCCTTTTTTCCCCCTTCACCTCCACTCTTACCTCTGCCTCCGACTCACCATTGTGCTCCACTTCCACTCTCTGTCTCTCCAGGGACTCATTTTCCTCCACGAGCTTCTTCGTTTCCTCCTGCAGCTTCTGCATATCATCCTTTAACCTCTTATTCCTTGATTTTGCCTCCTCCAACATCCTCAACTCTTCCTCCAGGTGCTGCCTGACCTCCAACTCGTGATCCCTTTCCTTCTCCTCCTGCTCTCCTGCAGCACGTTGCTGACCCTCCCTTCCCTTGAGCGTTGGAAGCATCCTACCTCTGACAGTATCAACCAAATCTTCAACAAGGCTGAGGATCTTGATATCTAAGGTCGAGGCACCAAGGTAAGTGGGGGTGTTGTGAGGGGCTTCGTCCACCTCATACTTGATAGCACGTTTACATTCCCTGAGCAGTAAGCCGAGACCCAAAGTGATGCGCATTCCTGAGGGCAAGCTGGTGATCTTGGCAGATGCGATCATGTCCAAAAAATTTTCTACAACACCATCTTCGGAGTGCACAGCATTGGGAAGGTACGATTCTTCCCAAGACCATGTTGCCCAGGTAGGCCAGTCCCTTTGCTTTTCAGAGCTTGGTCCCTACACCATGTGAGTATTGAATTCTGCTCATTCAATGACGAACATACCTTCTCCAAGTCTCTGACCCCTTCAACCAACAGCAGGTATTTATCATTATTGCTCAGGGACTTCAAGAACTGCACACGATCCTTCATTGGAACTGCCACGGGTGCTCCTTCTTGAGCGCCAGATGGCCTAGCAGCCGGCCCTGTTGTATGTCCTGCAAAGGATGTTGTGGCTAAGTCATCTTCTGAAGAGTCATCGTCAGCTGGGCTGATGGTACGTGGTGCAAGGCGTGTGCTGGCTAGGGCGCTGGAGGCAGCCTTGGTCCCGGCCGGCCCTTTGGTACGTGGTGTGGGGCGTGTGCTGGCCGAGGCACTGGAGGCAGCCTTAGTCCCGGCCGGCCCTTCGGTACGTGTCGTAGGTGGCTTGGCTGAGGTATCGTCCTCGTTTTCTTGACTGATTTCCACATATACCTTTTTGTCCCCCTTATAGGGAACTGCATTCTGCAGGCTCTCTTTGCTCATATCAGCAAGCTTGCCTGCAAGGAAAATAATCAATCTTTGCTTGGCTGCCCGTCTGACTTCCCAATGGTCCCACAGCTTGGTGATGTCGTCAGCCCTCAAATGAGAGGGATCCCTCAACAAGAAACCCTTGGGGAGGCACTCCAGGTCCAAGTACAAACTTGGCTTAGCCACAACCTCACGCCAAGGTACTGGCTTGGTACTGTCAGTGAAAACTTCTACCCAACCAACCTTAAGTCCCATCAAAGCTGACCGAACAGACATCAACTCACTGTACGATGCATGGAAGATCCGTCGGACTAATTCTTGCTGTCCTTTCGCATTGATACCAGCGCATGAAGGAAGCTTTGCATAGCCTGTCTTGTCTAAGACAAGTTCAGGCAACTTATCCTTGGTATCGTCCTCGTCGTCCTCATTGTCTGACACTCCATCAGAGTCCTCAGGGTCTTAAGATTCTTTAATTATTGTGTAGTCAATACAAAATGAAAACTCACAGAATTCCGACTTGGACCACTCCACAAATTTTGTAAAACCATCAGATGTCCATTCTTTGTTGCTGCGAGAACTTTGTGTGAACACTTTTTTGCCATTCAAGGGCTTAGACTCATGGCTGAATAATAACATTGAGTTATTTTACTTCGATAAGACAATATCACTCACACGACGACACTTAGAGTCTGATCAGATTTTTTTTTGTGACTGACTAGCATCACAACCTGACACCCCATAGTATGACAAATTTGTTCTGTAAAATAGTCCAGGACTCTTTTGAGGTTCCTCTTCCGATACCTGCCAGTATATGTAGTTATAGGAGATACCGAGTTGAGAATATAAATACTTACATTGCCTGTGCTTCTGCTGGTGCGCCTTCCCTATTCCACTTTTCCTTCGCGTCCTCTACCTCCTCACGTTGTGCAGGAGTCATATTGTTAAACCAGTCCCTCGTGTGTCCTGTACGGAATTTAATCGAATGTTTTCCCCCCAACTTTGATTGCTCCTCCTTGTCATAGTCGTCGATTTCCTGCTTGAACAACTTCTGTGCAACATCCCAGTCAGTAATTTCCTTCTTGTAAAATGCGGCATCCTTTGGACGAGCTGCCATCTCCCTCTCCTCAGGGGATACACCAAGTGCTTCATTGTCCTGTTCATCTTCCAGGAACTCTCCTTCAGCTTGAATATCATCCTCATCGGTTAAGAACTGGAGATAGTAGCGCCTAATGGCCTTTTCATATACAGGCAAATAAGTACTATTTTCTATACAAAATAAGCCATACAAACCTTTCTTAAAGGCTTCGGCAAGGCAGCAGGATCCTCCAGTGACTTGTGTTTTGTGACAATCTGATCACGTATTGTCTTCAAAATACTTTGACGTGTTGGTGCCGAAGCAGTAACAAACTTGTCCTGGTGGATAGCTAGTATTCCCTCGAAAGACTCATACCATTTGTCCATGATATGTTTAGTAGTAGAAATAAGGATATGAAGTGTTTGCGACACGTAGTCAAGGGTCAGCCGCACAAATGTTCCAAACACGATCACATGACCTTTGACATGTGATCGTGTTTGGAACATTTGTGCGGCCGACCCTTGACTACGTGTGTCGCAAACACTTCATATCCTTATTTCTAAACCTGTAATTAATGAAACCACTGATGAATGCACAAATGGAGGCTAACAAATCAAATCAATTGCAAAAACATCTATCTAAGTAACTAGTGTGAAATAATTCAGTTGTGCGCCTTCTTCCTAGTAGACTCAGTCTCATCTAAACTCTCTTTGCTACTCCTTGGACATTTGGCTTGGCTGATGGAAGATGTGGCCGAAATAGGTGCAGACTGAACAGATGGAGATGGGAAGATGGCAGAAGGGGACTGAAACCAGCCGCTGTTCCTGCTCTTAGCGGCGTTGACAAGGAAACCCGGAGGTTTGTCAATCTGGAACCTATGGGGAGACTTTCCCTGGCTCTTACCACATTCAGTATGTAAGCAGGTATATATGTACCTACTGACACCTGCAGCCTGGTCTTGAGCGGCGACACCTTGAGACTGTTGTGACGCTGTCACACCGACTTTCTCCGACCAACTATTGGTCGAGCCGCAGAGGGGACACTGTGAAGGCACCTCAATGCCCCACAGCTGTGTCTGTGGGTGGGCGCGTGCATAAGTTGTGACGAAAAGCCTGGGAAAATGGGCGGCGTTATCCCTGGTCATTGATATGATCTTGGAATGTAGTCCAAGGCGGTTGGAGAGGGAGAGCAGAGAGGGAAAGACTTTGTGGAGATCCAGCTGTTCGATGATGACAAGTTCCGCTAGGGCCAGTAGGAAGTTGGTGGCGACCAGTGGCTGGAACCTTTTGGCAGGAAAAATGATAGCGGATGCTACCTTGATGTCCAGGACAGCCTGCTTGAGCTCAACAAATGCGTCCTCATGTGTGACAATAGAGGCACACACAAGGAGCACCATGTTGGTGGCCTTGAGAAGAGGAAGATAAGGCCGGAATACAGTAGATAGTACCTAGATCACCAATTAGCCAAGAACTTGCAGAATAGATGGATACATTACCTGGGTGATGCTCATAGCAATATATCTACCATTTACCTTACCCGCGAACAGCCACCCACTGTCTTGTTCGGAATGGTTCGAAAAAAATGCAAAAATGCATCCAGCTCGTCCAAGGTGTTGCATGAGTTGAGTGACACGCGCTTGCTGCGTCTGAGTGTACGCATCTATCTTCTTGTGTGTTGCGACGTCGAAGACAACCTCCAGGTAAGTGTACCCACCGTTGGGGAAAAAGTGTTCCAAATAGTGCGACAGGAGGGGGACAGGCGTTATCACTTCATCAGTTGCACTGATGATGAAGTGAATGATGGCGACCGGCATGGAGGCCAACAATGTGCATGACGCAGCCTCAAACTTGCCGTTGAGCCGGAGGAAATGAGGAAGGACAGGATGCCCTCCTCTGTCAGGCAAGTTGGCGCTGTAGAATCCCTGTAATCACATTAATAGCGTAGTCAAAAGAATTAAAAAAAGTACTTACAAAGTAGGGTGCCGGCTTTCTAAGACTGCGCAGAGAATGGCAGGATAGGCAAAGAAACAAGACGTCGACGCCTTGTACAATGTCGACATAGCCGGTGGGGACTTCAATACAGTGACTGCACATAACGCGCGGGCAAGCGTCGCACTTGTACAATACAACGTCACCTTCGGCGCCGTCACGGCAGATCATACACCACTGACTAAATTAGCTAAGATAGACATTATGAAGGAAGAACTTACTAGGCTGTGGATCTCTGCAGGCAGCTCAGGCGCCGCCGGTCCACTTGGCAATGGATCCTCCACATATGGAATGGGAGAACCAAGGGGAACACTGACTTTGAGGGCAACACCCCCAGCAGCACGCTTCTTGGCAGTGTTCTTCTTGGGTGGCATGAGCTGGGGCTATGAGATGTAGAAGCGGTACTGGCTGATGGATTCAACAATAAGAAATTGGACTTACAATAATTCGAACATGGGTGTCACATGATCGCGTGAAACCGGCATTGTGCGTACAAAAAGACTCTTTTTGTACGCACAATGCCGGTTTCACGCGATCATGTGACACCCATGTTCGAATTATTGTAAGTCCAATTTCTTATTGTTGAATCCATCATGTCTTTTTGTATGCACAATGCCGGTTTCACGTGATCATGTGACATATGGCACGCGTGCATTGTGGATGAGTTGTGTTTTAAACGCGTCTTGTTTGATCATGTGACCCGTGGCACACACGCATTGTGGACAAGTATTTTTTGTATTTTAAACGCGTCTTGTTTGATCATGTGACCCGTGGCACGCGCGCATTGTGGACAAGTCTTTTTGTATTTTAAACGCGTCTTGTTTGATCATGTGATTACATGAAACCGGCATTGTGCGAATACAAACACAATCAAATATTGCGGCATATAGTGAGCAGGTAACACATTCCCACGGTTGAATTTCTTGTACCGCTCGCTCACCATTGCTCACCATGTGCATCCTCACTCCTCACCACACTTCAGCGCTCATCCCATTAGCCACTTACACAGTCTGCAGCTGTGTAAGTGGCTTATGGGTCACTGAGCATTCTACACTTCAAGGTAGATGTCTTCTTTTCTCGCGTTCCTTGCTGAATATGTTCTTTTCTACAGGTTATATCCTCTCAGGTGAGTCTTCTGTTAAGTTATGTGGCGCTTACCTTCTTTCTTTTTGATAGGATTCCTTCATCATCCGCCTCTTTACTCCACTCATTCACCAAGGTTCGTCTTATCTTGACGTCTCCTGCGCTGACTATTTGTCTATAGTATTTTATTATCATCCGCCCACTCTCTCACCAAGGTCCGTGTTCTTTTGAGCTCTCCTGTGCTTACCGTCTGTCTTCAGCATTTCACTCATTTGTCCTCCTTCAAGTTATGCGCCCTCTCAGGTCTGTTTTATCTAGAGCTTGCCTGCGCTTACCATTTTCCTTTTTTTTAGTGTTTTATTGCCATGCACAATATCTGCATGGGTCTTTGGGGCTGGGGGAGGTATAGTGTCCACACTGGTGCGCCTATCCTCCTCCAATATTTTCATGGGTCTTTGGGGCTGGAGGGAGGTATAGCGTCCACACTGGTGCGCCTATCCTCCTCCACCATTTACTTGGGGTATGGTGCTCAATGTGCGCCTAAATTCGCTTCCTCAACAAGGTAGTTTCATTTGTATTCCCTTAGCAAACACTGACCACCGTTCATGCAGGTATTATTATATGGCGCCAATATCTAATAAAAGGACGGTTTTGATTATATTTGACTTTACAGGTACTGACCAATGTTTACAGATTGTACCTACTTTTATATGTACTGTAGTTAGCAGTACAAGACCGTTGTGGAGAGGGCCCCTCCACAGCGGCCTTGTATTGGCAGAATTTTTTCACTTTATTACTATTTTAAAATGCACAACATGTCTCAGTAGTTTTACCATTATAAAATCACATGCTCCGCTTTGAAATAAAATCACGTGACTTGTATTAGAAACCATATGTGCTGCTTTGGAATAAAATCACGTGACTTGTATACTCAGCGCCCCATATAAGTCTTTGGAGACTTATGCCTATCTGTTACCAACAAGTTTGCAAGATTTGCTTTGATTCAGGACATTTGATTTGATTTGGAGGATGTTTTTGTTTCATTGATAGTTGAGCCATCGAGGAACCTAGTTACCTGAGCTTATGTGAGCGTAGATGGCCAAATATAAAAATTCAAAATTCAAAAGCCCGTATGCAACCGCCTAGCAGCCCACCTTTCTTGTTCAGAGTGCAATTGGGGACAAACATCCAGTGCGCCCTAAGTGTTGCTTCACAGCTGTACAGTAACTCCCCATATTTCATCACATATGCACTTCACTGAAACTTTTGTTCTGTAACCTTTACAACTGCCACCCCTCTTCATCCTTGTGACTCACAAGTAAAGCTCCCCCATTTCATCACATATGCACTTCACCGAACAAAACTCCATTCTTCTGTCCTTGACTCCTTGCCTCACATCATATTCTAACTCACAAGTAAAGCTCCCCCATTTTATCACATATGCGCTTCACCGAACAAAACTTCATTCTTCTGTCCTTGCCCCCCTTCATCTTCTAACTCACAAGTAAAGCTCCCCCATTTCATTGCGCGTATGCACTTCACCAAACAATGATAGTGGTGAAGGTTATAGAAGAATGAAGCTTTGTTCGGTGAAGTGCATATGCGATGAAATGGGGGAGCTTTACTTGTGAGTTTTGTTCAGTGAACAGCCATCCCTCTTCATCTTCTAAACTCACAAGTAAATGTCCCCCATTTCATCTTCACCGAACAAAACCTCATTCTTCTGTAATCTATGCACTACATAGTACAAAACTCCATTTATTATTACCCATCTTTTCATTGTTTTATTGTTCAGATCACCGCCATTCTTCAGTGCTTCAGTAACACCTTGACCCATTTTACAGGAACCGGCAGGCCCAGAGTACCCTCTTCTAATGTTCGACAGAATTATGTAATTACCCATGGGGATTCTCCATTAGGCTACATTAATGTGTGACATGTTGGCATGTTCATTTATACTTCCGACGTGACAGGTTTGAAATTTTCCATCCACTCCGACTTACAATGGGGGATCCTGTAGCTTTACTAGCCAAAAGGCTCAGTAGCCGCGTTGATGAACTCCTGTGTGATTCCTCACCGTTTGAATTGTTCACACAGAACAACATTGACGAAAAATTACTACAGAGAGCCAAGTAAGCAATTTCTAAGTTGTTTGTCTGTGCCACTCAACAGCCGTAATTTAAGGACCAGATTGTGGAATCAGTGGCAGAACATTCTACTGTCTGCTAGTGGCGATAGTGGTACTAATCCGACGATCATTACTGATATTGAAATTTCCAGGGCTGCAGTAATCATTGCTTACGCAGCAGTTAATAGTTGTACGTCTTTATTTGATTTTTCGACTGTACCTGAATTTGAATATTTGACTGCAGTACAAACAGATTGGGATGTTGATCAATTTTCGGACTCTGCTAAAGCCTCCTGAAATACAAAACAAAGAAAGAAACTAGCCAAGTATTTCAAAGCTTCTTCATTTGGTCACATAACCGAGCCCACCACATTGGTTGATAAGCATGGAAGAATCCTAGCTTGGTATCTCCCCAAGATCCTGATGCCCGACCGAATGGTACAACTCTCACAAATATGAAAACCCTATTTTAAACTGTTTATAATCTAGGAACACATCAACGAGTCCATCAAGATACTCAGACCTGTCCTTGATCACTCTTTGCCTAAGCCAACAGAACAGGCAAAACAGCCTTGGCGTTCACAAGGCTTTGTCATACCCTCTGGCGGAGGAGAATTTGGAGCAGGACAGGTGACTATGTGCCCCGGTGGTTTCATGCAACGTCATGAAGTGAGATTTTTTTCATATCCGATTCACAAGACAAAAGTAACTCAATTGAGTTAGCGGCTTCAAGATCTTTTATATCAATCAACTTCTCTGTCGTCACCCATAGTTCAATATTGGTTGTCTGAAATCACAGCAACCGAACAATTCTGGTCCGCTATCACCAGTATTATTGCACCCCATCAGTATCTTGCTGGCATGCAATGTATTTCTAGCCTGAAGCAAGCGGTCAAGACTTCGAATCCAGTTGTTTGGCCCTCAGATTTTTCTGGAATTGAGGTGATTGTAAACCGGGAGACACCGTATCATCGCGATCCAGGAGCATCACCATCATTTTATGACCTTTTGGTGAGCCTCGGAAAAGGTCACCAGGCTATATTGGATCTGCCTGATGTGGGTGCCGAGCTACAATATGACCCTGGGAGCATGGTTTACATTTGTGGTAAGGTACTGGAGCATGGGGTCCCAAGGTGGCGTGATGGGGAGAGGATCATAATCGCCCACTTTGTCAAGGACAAAGTTCATGATAGGCAGAGTATTCCTAGACCGATGTTTCCAACGGACTTGGAATTTCTCATCAAAGTGGGGGCAGGTAAAGGAGGAACACCTGTTAGTAGGAAGAAGGGCAGAAAGAATGGGTTGAACAGGGGAGAGTCCAGAGGTAGTAAGTAGAGACAGTTATTCATTTGTGATAGCCGAGATTTTTGGATTTGATTAGACAAATTTTTGACTATACACTTCGTTTCACATTATCATTCCTTGGTTGAAACATCATGTCTGGGCAGAAAAAAATCGTCTCAAGGCTGTTTCTTATTCTTTCAAACACAGAGGTAGCCTATCCAAAAAGAAAGACCTGGACATAGACTATGTTGCCTACAAGCCTACCAGAGACAAGAGGGGAAAGTCCTCATGGGTCGAATCCTGTGCAGATCCACTGTATGAAACATCGATGGACCCTTCCTCCCCCAGCAGCCCAAGGAAACGAATGAAAGAGAACCATGCAGAATTTGTGGATGTCGAAGCCTCTCAGGAAAGTTTGGGTGACTTCATTCTGGACACAGAGGATGGTCACCAACCAAGAAAAACAAAGGTGTGTCTAGTAGTTTCTAACTCGCTGATAAAAGTTTTCTCATGCATGCTATAGACACAAAACAACTTCATAGCAGAATATCTTCATTATTGAGATGTATATCTAGATATAATTCTAGATTCAGAACAATTCACCTGTGCAGGGATCTGCGAGACATGTCAGAGTGCTGAGGCCACATTCAATTGTGTAACCTGTGCTGGTGACCATGGGTGGTGTCGTCCTTGCTTGATCAGATCGCATCAGTCATTACCTTTCCACAAAATTCAACTTTGGAACAACATGTGCTTCCAGGACGTCACTCTTGCTGACCAAGGATTCATATGGTACTTAGGCCATGGAGGAGAGCCTTGCCCTTCATATGGAGCTTCGAAAATTCACGGGGATCAAGATGGGAAAGTAGATGATATTACAGAGACAGGCCCCTTACCTCAAGATACCACCCCTGTGACTATTGTACATTCATCAGGAGTGTTCACACACAACGTATTGTGGTGTCATTGCCAAGGATCCGATCCTCAGCACCTGCAGCTCCTGAGAGCACAGCTATTTCCTGCCAGCTCCACACGGCCCAGGACTGTTTTCACCTTCGAAGTACTGGATCATTTTCTCATTGACGCCTTGGAATGCAAGACTTCAGCCAGGAGCTTCTTTGAGAAACTTACAAGGTTGACAAATAATGCATTTCCAGATACTGTCCCAGTGAGTGAGAAATCTATATTTGTAGTTCAAAATTCCAATGGCATCTGTAGGATCGTTATCGTGAACTCATGAGAGTATCTCGACTGTGGAGAGACTTGAAGAACCGTAAATGGTTTGGATTTGGCCATAATATGAAATCAGGACCTGGCCCAGGAGATCTTGCCCTTTTCTGCCCTTCATGTCCTCAGCCAGGAATCAACATGCCTCTTGATTGGGAGCAGAAGTATGAAAGGCAAGTCAATTATTATTACTGGTGCAGCGAAATCATAGCTAGACAGTGGCCGGTTGGTTGCTACGTGTTGTATACACTCATGGCTGTTGAGCAAGGTGAACTCTGGCCAGTACACATTGTACATAGGCCAGTAATGCTGCAGGCTGGACATATGTGTGTATTTACCCTGGCCAGTACACCTGGTACAGTGGCCAGTACAGATCTTGGCCAGGTTTTTCCTAAACCTGGCCAGCCAATAGCTAGCCAACATATGTGTGGTGCTGGCCGAGGTCAAATAGCAGCAGAGGATGCTGGCCAGTACTGATTGTACAGCTAGTGCAGGTAGTCCAGCTGGCTGTCACCATTGTGCTACGATACTATGTGCCTTGTAAAGTGCACTCTGGCCAGACTGTCTTGGTTATGAAGAACTCTCCAAAGAATTATTATGGTTCAATAATGCTAATTTTGGATGTTCAACACAGGTGGCTTGTCATGAAGAGATTTGTGGTAGATGGAAATTTTACTGCTCAGCACATGAACATGAGACAGCTGAAAGAGGACATCTTCCTCTCAGATGGTTTAGGTTATATGGTCACAGAGGGAGAATATCAAGCTCACTTGGCCTCAGCTACAGAGAGTAGGAAGGTGAGTTGGGTTGTGTTCATTTTACAAGTATGCTGAACAAGTTGGAAGAGGTCTACTTGTAGCAACCATCGTGCAGTCAATGCAGCAAATACAAACCGAGGCAACCTCAGAACTACAGGGGTGGGGGCCACTGCTTGTGCAAGGCATGGATGTTTCATTCCCCACTCTGTAGTAGACTTTCAAAAGGGCGAATGGCAAGTCTTATTTAATATACTACTGATTGACTGACTTGATGACAAAATCACTTCAAGCCACATGAATATAGATTACTCCATATGCAATGCTATTAAGCATGCTGCAAGAGGAATCAATGACTCCCTGGTAATTTATGATGTGGGCTGCCAGTGGAGTCTTCATTTTTCAGAACGTGTCAACAACTGCTCTAGCTTGACCCTCCCTGATGACACAGAGATTGTGGTTGCAGTGGGAAAATTTCATCCCAGCGCTCACAAGCTTGCTTGTTTTCCTAGATACAGCCTGAACTTTATTGTAGGAGCTGGGCAGGTTGATGGGGAAATTCTAGAGACACTCTGGGCTCCCTTCAATAAGATTTCTCCAACAGCACGTTCTATGAGCCAAGCCCACCGTCAAGAAATCCTTGATGATCACATGCGTAACTCAAATTGGAAAAAACATGTCCAAATTGGTGAGTGCCTATATTTGGAATCAATTAAAAATCAGTCAAACGGCACATACAGTTAAGACGCTCTTGCAAAAGTACAAACGTGCCAATAAGGGCATCGATGACACTAAGGTGCCATTCCAAGAGCTCACACATTCCTTGGAAGTCAGTAAAGTCTCCTCATGGGAGAAAGATGAAAAACAAGCTATGGAACAATGTGGAGAGCATCTTGACATATACCAACTACAAATAGATAAAGGTGAGTTGTTCCTAGGTTCTTTTCATTTTCACATGCTGTTCATTCTGATGCGGTGATTGGAAGCCCCAACAATGGCAGAAATTCGGCTAAAATTAACCGAAAACAGAATATGCTAATACTAGCAAACGAGGATCGATATCTTTACTCACCAGTGGTATCAATTTGGAGAATGCTTAGTATGTCATTATATCACCTTCACATTTAAGGTACATCTCAATTTTGCTTTAGGGATGCTTTGAGGGGAGATATTTGAAAGCTTCCCAAAGATGCATCTGCCACTCAAAAGGCAGTAGTTGAAGAAAAATGACAAAAACTGGCAGCAAGGATCTCGAAAATTTCATGAAATGGCTGATGCCATGACAGAAGGCATCGAAGTTGACACAGGTATGGAGCACATGGATGACGTCAGATTTTGTACTGCAGATATGGAGGAAGAAGAGAGGGAAGCAGCAGATCCCAAAGTGACTTATGAAGAAATCTGTGAAGAAGTTATTGCAGAAGCCATGCGGATCTGGATGCCGTCATCAATACCTCACGACAATGCTTTAGCCCTTGGCCTAGGTTCTCTACAAGCCGAAGAACTGCAGTTACGGCAGGGTCAGGCAAATGATTGCTTGGAAAAGTTACGGCAGGCTCTCAGCCACAAAGCCATAATTTACCATCAACATTTTAGAAGTGCAGATTCCACGTGGGTGGGTACCAGGTCAAAGCAAGAAGCTCGACAATGTCAGATCAAAATTGATCAGTGTGTTCGAAGCTATCAGAGGGCCAGGAATGCACTGCAGAGACTAGGAGTAGATGAAGATACTCTGAAGAATGTTTATCAAGAGATTCAGCCGAGTCAGCTTAATGTGAACAAGGAAGTCACTGAGGAGAACAGATATGGGCAGGGATCAGACAGACTAGCTTGGTTTTGGAGGGTGAACAATGGTCATGATTCTCCTGAAGATGTATGGATGGATGAATGTGAGTCACGTTTCATATTCATTCATTATTACATGACAAGTATCAGTCTACAGGCTAAATTGGTTGAAAGCTAAGGCTCGATGGCAAAGGTGGGAGGAGGAGTTGAGTTTGGTTCAACATGAGATGGGGTGGACAGTGGGTTGGTTTAGATACAAGAAGGAAGAATGGGAACGAAGATACCATGAAGCCACAAAGCATGGTCATCAAGCCTATGCACAACGACAGGTGCTCCTGTGGGGAAGGTTTTAGTGAATGCAGAAAATTCATTCAAGGACAAAATGGTTGTAGTCACTTAACAGTTGTATTCCTAGACTATTCTAACTGAAGTATGTGGCAGGAATATAATAGACATGGTGTACTGATGGTCCAACCGGACTGATTTTCCTTATGTAGACATCGGTCAGAACACCTTCTACAGCATACTGTACCCAATTACATGGTGTACTGATGGTCCGGCCGGACTGCTTTTCCTCATGTAGACATCGGCCAGAACACCTTCTACAACATACTGTACCCAATTACATGGTGTACTGATGGTCCGGCCGGACTGCTTTTCCTCATGTAGACATCAGCCAGAACACCTTCTACAGCATACTGTACCCAATTACATGGTGTACTGATGGTCCGGCCGGACTGCTTTGCCTCATGTAGACATCGGCCAGAACACCTTCTACAGCATACTGTATCCAATTACATGGTGTACTGATGGTCCGGCCAGACTGATTTTCCTTATGTAGACATCGGCCAGAACACCTTCTACAGCTCATACTGTACTGTATTTTTGCTTGTATTATTCTAATTATAATAGTAAAAAACAAGTCTGATTGGCAAGCTAGTTGTTTTTATTATTTATGTGCAAGTCGGCCAGGGTGATATCTACAACTTGTAGTCCTAATATAGTATTTCTTGCCTTAAAAGTGGTAGGGTAGCTCTTGAACACCACCTTCAACTTGCATGCTTACTATGTGCAATTGTCTAACCCCCATTCTGCATGTGTACTTTTGCATGACAAAGACCCAATTCTCACACTATCATCCCTATACACTGGCCAGCACTCACTCTAGGCATCAGCTAATACCTACCCTATGCACCGGCCAGCACCTGGCCAGCACTCACATTACATACTGGTCAGCACCCATCCTATATTCCAGCCAGCACCTGGCCAGCACCTACCCTACAGACTGGCCAGCACCCACTCTACATACTAGCCACACCAACTAGAGGTATCGGCCACCACCACCACCACACCTCCGGCCGGTCACTATCTACATATACCGGCCGGTACACATTGTACAACCATTTGGAACGTCCAGAGTACCAGTTCTACGTGTGGTTCTGACTGAATTATGTGCATTGGCCAATGCAATGATGTTCTAGAATGCCTCCAGACTTCATCTCAGTTTTTCCTCTAAATTGTTCGCATAGTCTCCCTAGGCCTATGATCTTAAAGTAAGTATTATCGTGGTTGACAACGTTGATATCGGATAGCTTCGACTTATTAGTACATGCATACTTCAAATTTCAAAGCTTCAGCTTCAGACGACATGGTCGCGTAGTATTTACATAGAGGTTGATATGTATCCATATGTAGACCTGTATGACGTAATAATAATCTTTGAATTCTGCTCCCGTTGCAAACTATCAGATCCGTTCTTTCGTGCCTGTTCGTACCAATGCCCACAACACCCATCGAAGTCCTGCGCGCCTCAGTCGAGGCTCATAATGATACCTTCGAGGCTTTACTAAACTTGATACCTGCCAAGTACTACCTGCCGAAAGATGATCATGATGCAGACGACAATGTGTGTTATTTAAATTTTCAGTCGTTCATTGATGAATCTGAATCGCGTCGTGCGCATCGGACAGGTTCCATCCAAGTATCAAAAACACAGCAAAAACAAGAAAGCACCCAAACAAGCTGCGAAGGAGGCATCAAAAAAGGCTCGCAGGGATAAGGTCTGCCGCTATCATCACTGCCTGATGTTCCTTTTTGAGTCTGAGTTCTTATTTTTCTAGCTGGACCCAGCCAATCAAAAGTCAGTCATCGACCTTCAGAACGAAGCTGCTCTTGAGCTAGAAAAAAACAACTCGAAAGTCAAGGGGAAGCGGAAAGCTGCGGTACTCGGGTCTGATTCTGATGCCGGCGACGAGGACGACGTTATGCAAGTGGATGATGTGGATCTCAGCGATGCCGTTGTGACCGCCCCACTCGACTCTATAGTGCCCATGGCTAAACCAGAGAGTATCGCTGCTCTCCGAGATAAATTACATTTGCGCATGGCAGCTCTCCGACGTGGTGGACAAGGTGGTGGAGAGCCGGGAGATAAAGACGAGCTTTTGGAAGAAAGGAGAAAGCAACGCGCTGCGCTTCGTGAAAAAAGACGAAAAGAGACAAAAGAGAGGCGCAAGGCAGAGGCTGAAGGCAAAAAAGGAAGCAAGAAGGAAGTGACGAAGGGTCTTCCTGTCAAGGTATTTTCGCATCTTGCGAGGTTCGAGCTCGAGTTCATCCTTCTGTGCTCGACAAACAGAATCAGTTGCTTGTTCCGGACTTGCCAGTCGCTTCGAAAGGAACTGCAGCCTCTCGTCATATCGACGGTCCATTGACTAATGTATCTTTTTCTGTGGTGGCCGGGAGTTCGAGCAAAAGGGCTGCATCACTCAAGACGTCTTCTAATCCTAATCAAGCTCTGTCGCAGCTCGCTGCGCGGAAGGAAAAATTGGATTCGATGCCGGAGGACAAACGCAAGGCTATAGAAGATAAGAGTCGTTGGGCAAAAGCGGAGGCGCGTGTTGAAGGTGTCAAGGTCAAGGATGACGAAGGGCGCCTGAAGAAGGCAGTAAAACGGAAAGAAAAGGAGAAAGTGAAGAGCAAGAAGTCCTGGTAAGCTGTTGATGATCACTTGGTTTTTTATTGATACTTATATTGTTGAAGGGAGGAGAGGAAAGACCAGCTCGCAGCTTCCATGGCTGCAAAACAGAAGAAACGATCAGATAACATCGCGATGCGAAATGAGCGACGAAGTGATAAAAGAAAGTCGTCGTCGTCAAAGGGGAAAACTAAAGCTCGACCTGGTTTTGAGGGCAAGGCTTTCCATAAGGGTAAAGGGAAAGCTACGGGCAAGCACAAGTAGCGCAGGTACTGTAGCCCTGATGTATGGTTAGGGATAACTTGTATCGATCTCATTTCAAGTGGGTCATACTTCAGTATGAGAGGTGCTGGGGTTCGGGGTGAATATTAATGGAGACATGATAAGGCCAGCTTAATTTCCACAGCAGTGCAGATTCTATTAATCGGCCGCCTCACACCTTCAGGTGACACACTGTTTGTCACTATTGTGTACAGACGAAAATATTTGGGTGACTGCACTGAGAGGGGCCAATTGTGACACGGACTAACTGGCACTTGGCCAATTCAAGGAAGTACTTTGGCCAATATTTCAAATTCAAAGAGGTTATGACGGCTTTGAACCACGACAGTTTATATACCGCTTGCCTCTGGCCTCTTCTCTAGTCTTCTCCGACTTCTCAACACTCGCACTCAACGTTCAACGCTTATACACTACAAACTTCACAATGTCTTCACCTCCTACCATGGATTTTTCTGGTACGTCGCCCTAGGTCATCAGTGGCAGTCGGTCTAATTCTTCCTAATTCTGCGTGCAGGGAAATGCATCATTGTCACTGAGGGTGACCGCGGAATTGGGCTTGTGTATAGCATCGCTCTCGCTAAGGCTGGTGCCCGAGTAGCAATCATCTACAGGTCAAGCTTAGCTTCTTTGATGCTGTCAATTGCTAATTAATGTGTGGTTAGGAGTAACGAGGATGCCCCTCAAGTCGCTCAAGATCTTGAGAAGGAATTCCGTGTCGAAGTCAAGGTATGTAAACCAACCTCGCTGAAATGCCGTCTTCATGCAGACCCCTATCCTCCTGCACAGGCTTACAAGTGTGACGTCACCAATGCTGAGCAGACAGTTGAGATGTTTGAGTTCATCGCGAAAGATCTTGGCCCCGTCACAGGTCTCATTGCAGTGAGTAGATTCGTTCTCGCCAGATCATTTCTTGAAACGAGCGGTTTGATTATAGAATCCTAGCGTTTCTGTCGTGAAGCCTGTTCTTGCACTGACCACGGAGCACTTCAACCACGTGTATAATGCCAATGTCTTCGGCGTACTCAACAGCGCCGTGGCTGCTGCAAAGTAAGTTCTACCATGTATTTTGTGGAAGGCAGGACCTGACAAATTTGGCAGGCTTTGGAAAGGGAAAAACTTGGAGAACTTTTCCATTGTGATCTCGTCCACCACCAGCTCGCGGATCATTAACCAAGCTGCGACAAACGAACCCTTGACACAGGTCTTTGACAACTCCTCCAAGGCCGCTGTCTCCAGCCTTACCAAGGGGTTGGCTGCTGAGTGGGCTCAGGCTGGACATAATTTCAGAGTGAACGAAGTTACTCCTGGATATGGTTTCGCTACGGTATGTACTGTGTGTTTCATTGAGAATTTACTGATTCACTTATTTTATACATTGTAGCCCGATCAGATCGCAGACCAGGCACTTTCCCTTTTGTCTGAGAACGCCAGTTGCATGACTGGCGGGGGGCATCGCGTTGACGGGTATGTCTGCTGGTTTCGCACAGCATCAAAAATCTGACGGATTCCTTGCCATATTCCTTTAGCGCCCAGCTTATCTGGCAAATTCGCACGACAGAGTTGTGTGGCTGGAGCTTAAGAGGGAGTAGTTCATTACAACGGAATGTGTGTACTCAATCAATGCATGAGAAGTGATGGGATTCGGGGTGAATGGAGACATGATAAGGCCAGCTTAATTTCTACAGCAGTACAAATTCTATTAATCGGCCGCCTCACGCCTTCAGGTGACACACTGTTTGTCACTATTCTGTACAGACGAAAATATTTGGGCGACTACACTGAAAGGGGCCAATTGTCGAACCAACTGTGCCCCAGCGTTGGGAGTAGTCCAGAATTTCAGGCAGTTCCAGGTTACAGTTCTAGTTGGCCAATTCAGTGCAATTTAGAAGAGGGGACTTATCCATGGCTCGGCCAATCCATTACTGACTATCAAATTCAAAGAGGGGACGGTTATGACGTCTTCGAACCATGACAGCTTATATACCGCTTGCCTCTAGTCTCCTCTCTAGTCTTCTCCGACTTCTCAACAGCCATCTACACTCGCACTTAACGCTTATACACTACAAAACTCACAATGTCTTTCACGTTTTCTGGTACGTTGCCCCGAATCATCAGTGGCAGTCAGTCTGATTCTTCCTAATTCTGCGTGCAGGGAAATGCATCATTGTCACTGGGGGTAACCGCGGAATTGGGCTTGGGTATAGCCGCGCTCTGGCTAAGGCTGGTGCCCAAGTAGCAATCATCTACAAGTCCAGCTTAGCTACTTTGATGCTTGTCAATTGCTAATTACTATGTGGTTAGGAGTAACAAGGATGCCCCTAAAGTCGCTGAAGATCTTAAGAAGGAATTCGGCGTCGAAGTCAGGGTATGTAAACCAACCTCGCTGAAATGCCGTCTTCATGCAGATCCCTATCCTCCTGCACAGGCTTACAAGTGCGACGTCACCAATGCTGAGCAGACAGTTGAGATGTTTGAGTTCATCGACAAAGAACTTGGTCCCGTCACAGGTCTCATTGCAGTGAGTAGATTCGTTTCCGCCAGATTATTTCTTGAAGCGAGCGGTTTTATTGCAGAATGCTGGCGTTTCTGTCGTGAAGCCTGCTCTTGAACTCACCACGGAGGACTTCTACCACGTGTATAATGTCAATGTCCTTGGCGTGTTCAACAGTGCTGTGGCTGCTGCAACGTAAGCTCCATCATGTGTTTTGTGTTTGTGGAAAGTACGGCCTGACGAATACGGCAGACTTTGGAAAGGCAAACACTTGAAAAACCTTTCGATTGTTATCACGTCCTCCATGAGCTCGCGGATCATTAACCAAGCTGCGACAAACAAACCCTTGACGCAAGCCTTTTACAACTCCTCGAAGGCTGCTGTCTCCAACCTTACCAAGGGGTTGGCTGCTGAGTGGGCTGCACATAACATCAGAGTGAACGCAGTCTCTCCCGGATACGGTCAGTATTTTTCTTTCTATGGCCCGTGCACGACATACTGAAAATATGTATTAGTGGAGACGGATCAAACTCATAATTTGCCCGACAGCGTCATCCAATATGAGGCGGACCACATTCCCTTGAGAAAATTTGCTACGGTATATACCGTGTTTCGTTTAGAATTCACTGATTCACTTATTTTATAAATTGTAGCCCGATCAGATCACAGGCCAGGCACTTTTGCTCTTGTCTGAGGACGGCAACTACATGACTGGCGGGGAGTATTTCGTTGACGGGTATGTCTGCCAGTTTCGCACATCATCACAAATCTGACGGATTCTTTGCCATATTCCTTTAGCGGCCAGCTTATCTACTAAATTCGCTTGTCGTCTCAAAGGAGTCGTGATCAATGGTGTGGCTGGAGCTTAAGAGGGAGTAGTTCATTACAACGGAAGGATGTAATGTGTGTACAATAATTTCAGAGAATTCCAGCGCTGCTGTACAAAATAAGGAAGAATTGTGATGACCACGACTCAATCCTACATGCCTAATACAACGATGTAAATGTTTGCTGAGACTTTGGATATTATCTAAGAAGCGAGGCCAATCAAGCTGTGTGGAACGATGAGATTGTTGTGGTGCAACTAAGTCGACACCCTCTCAGGGTCAGGCGCCCGCGCTCGTCCGCGTCGAGTTCGATACACTTTCTGTGTGGCATGTTCACAGCAGATATGAAGATGAAAGAAAGATTACAGACCATTTCCATCATTGCGCGGTAAGCCATGCCACCTGTGGCGTGGCCTTCCCTTATACTAGTGAAGTTAGGAGAGAAAGGGTCAAACAAGTAAAATATCAGTAACAGATCACCTACGCGGGCTTGAACACGTTGCCCAATGATGCTGGCGATGACCATGACGGCTGCGCTTGCCATGAAACCGATAGCGACTGGTACAAGCGAGAGTAGCATGAACCGCGGTTTGCCACGAGTATTCTCGAAAATGTAATCGACGATGCCAACGGCAAAAAGAATAGATGACCAGAGGGCGAATATGACAGGGCTGGCGACCGCAATCGCAAGAAAAGTTGGGTTGATGTAATTGCAACCTTTCACTAGCTCTGCCATGTCCTCGTCCGAAATAGAGAACGCCTGGATAGGGAAGTACTGAACAATGAAAAGACCGCAGACGCTCAACCCAGCTGCTCCCAGCCAAACAGAGAAAGCGAGAGGGGGAGCGGGTGGTGAAATCGCGAGGATAGCCGCACTCATAGTGGCGAGGAACGCGAGCTGTACAAACATGAATTTTGTATGATGTATTAGTGGAGGTTGACGACTCGTTTGAGCATATACAGCTTACCGTGTTCGACACTCTATTCCACTCTGCTTGCTGTTCGACACGCCAACGGTTGACAGCTTGTAGGCCGTCTACTTCAGCGGCATCGGCAAATTCATGAAATCGGGCAAGATAAGTGCGACCCATTTGGAACAAGAGAACATTATCCAAGATTTGGAGACACAACAGATATAATTTGGAGAGGAGAGGAAACATCATCCGAAGTGCTGCTGGTATAAGGCGGTCAGACTTGAGGCAGAATCAGACTACTCAAGGGCTCATTTCAGCCATGTTTAGTATATGGAACGTGGAGAAGAGCATAAGCGGCTTCTACAGCATGCCACATCATGACCAGCGCTATGTCGTTTGATATTGATTCAGAATATCGCATCGATGATTTGTGCAAAATGGTCTTGGGAAAGTCAGAGTATCAGCAGGCGAGTGGTCGTGGTGAGTCTACAACAAAACTGTTGACAACTTTACAAATCATCACCACCATAAATATTAATAATTTAGATGGGCTCACTCCCGGCACTACATCTACTGTCAAAACCACCACCTCGAAATATGGCAAGGCACTAATACACAAACTGGAATTGCTCAAGGACACTCGATTCTCCCACTGGCGTCACGAGTTCATCGTCCTTACTCTGACTTATGCAAGTGAAACGCGTCTGCTTTACTTGGAACATTCTTGGCATGGCACAGGACTAGGAGAACGGATACCCGTGACTCTTAGCAGTCTTGTTGGCAGTCAGAAAGGCAGCGCAGATGAAGCAATGTTCTATAAACCAAATGATCCCCATGAAAACCATCGGAGGAAATGCACCATGACTGTCCTCGAAATCCAGTTTTCTGATCATAGCCCTGGAGTCACTCTTCATTTCATTGCTCGCATTCTAAGGCAAATTGGGACGAAACATCAAGCCTATGCGTTATTCAGTGCCAACTGTTGGGCTTGGTCTCGAGGCATTGTTATGGCCATTGCCATAGAGTCTAGTAGGAACGTCGAGATAGTGACCATGTCAGGGAGGGATGTGACATTGGACCAGCTCAAAATTTACCTGTTGACCGAGTATGGTGCGTTTGGTGGTATGCTCTTGCATTGCATAGGTGTGTCTCGTACATCTCAACGCACTCTCCTGGCTGATAGCCTGAATTCTCAGAGAAAGGGAAGCATGACCTACGTTGGCACGAGTATTGTACTCTGCGATGTGCTTGCTTCCTTTATGGCTTCATCAGCCTCGGACTTTGGTTCAGACATGTCATTTTCGGTCCTCTCAACTGGGCACTACACACCAAGGAACTTTGCATTTACAAGGACCGGACAACCAACACGAAAGGTCAAGACCACACATACACTATCCTGCCGCCCGACTTCACAGATTTAATCCCCACATTCCCGGGCATTGCCACACACCTTCTGGGACACAATTTCTGCGGGCCAAGTAAATATCTATATATCCTGGTTCCCCCGATTGCAACCTCTGGAGCAAGAGTCACATCAGTTCATATATTTATCTATGGCACTGTGGAGTTAGAACCAGGCCAGGAACAGTTGGCCTCTGTTACCGAGAGCACTCTCAACAGAATGGAATGGTTTCGATGTGCTATTCTTCGCCAAACGCAGGACGGAAGACTCATCGAGGTATCTGAGCCCGCTTGCTTTCCACTCAGTGTACAGTTTCGGAGCGAATCGGGGAGGCGATCATACGGCGCTGTACATGTCATGGAACATCATCACCCATTGACTCTGGGGTTACGTCAAGGGGACTCGATAGCAATATGGGCTCTCGGAAGAGCTGGCTTTATCCACAAACCAGCAGGCGCTTGGATCAAGGTAGGTTATTTCATATGCAATAATTACTGGCATGAATGAGAGGACACTTTTAGGCCGTGACCAATCACCGGCTTGGATTTTTGGATTGGCTGGTTACAATCAACATGACGAGAACGATTGCAGGACTTATCATATACCCTCGCGGTCATACTTGGCCAGAGATTGTCGGAAAATTTTGCCATGAACTGAAGCACCTGTTTATCGAGATTCCATGGTGCTTGAACAGTTTGTGAGTCAAGCTCCCTCGCAATGTCTCCTCCAATGAATCGTTTCCCTATGAATCTAGTTGTAATGACTGGCCTTGGTCAGCAATCAACATGGCAGCATCACACTTACTTTCCACTGTCACACCGCTCCAGTTACCTGCAGATGACGGTGACGAGCACCCGGTCGAAGTGTCGTTATCTAACTTCATAGAACAACTTCTCTCACCCAACAGCGGAAAAGGCTCACCATTCTGCAGAGCTATAATGCGCTCCATCTCTCTTGGACAAGCTGAGATTGACCTCTTCAAGATCATCGTTCTGCTAGTCACCCTCGATAACGTGAAGTATTATGTGCATATACGTCATCCCAAAGACGAGGAGTCTCTCTGGCACCATTTTATCACTTCCCTGTGGAGCTATCATGGGTTCGTGCAGGATACAGCAGTGATATATCGACCAGGAAAAATGCAGAAAGCCGCTTGGGACGCCTTGGATGTCGATTTCACAGCCGAGCTGTCTGATAGTGACACTGCAGCACCGCAGGATATTCTCTCGGTCGCCTTGCGTTTACGCGACTTCCGGAATAATTACTGGTGGTATTTCTGGCTGAACGAAAATTGGCAGTGGCCTATATCTATCGTGAAGGCGATAATGAAATGTGCTGGCCAGGTTGTCCGTGTCCAGCTGCAATGCGACGAAGAGCCGCTGCAGATTGACAAGTGGGAGAAAACTGACGTCTTGTTGGGAGAGAAGGTAGAAGGGTGGGAACATGCGGAGGGGAAAATATATGGTGAGTGTCCCCAATGCCAATGATATTTGCTGATCGCAGAGATAGGGAATGGAATGAAGGACGATGTGCATTTTTTGTTTGCGCATGCACGAGCGCGCTTCTTGATAGGGTCGATCATACTGATATCTGTATTTCTTCATGTTTATTATCACTTGTAATCTCATCAGGTTTTGCGCCAGTGACACGGCTGCCAGTATGAAGAGATGGGTTTCCTCGGGTCTTCCCGGTCCTTTCTGCTGCTTAGTCAGTAAGTAGTTTGGCGTTAGCCGCAACAACATTGTCTACTCGCCTCGGCCCTCGAGGCTTGGGCTTGGGGTTGCCTGACGGATCACTGGGACTGTGCACACAATCACTGCAGTTAGACTGGTCACGAGCCTAGACTGCAGTGGTCACGAGTCTAGGCTGTAGTCGTACAGCTCCACAGAGCTCCACATATCCCGATTAGGTCGGGAGAGCTTATATATAGATGCATCCCCTTCACCTGGTCAGCAACTTACATCTTCAGCTATTCTATCAACCTATTGTACAAAGTTGATACAAAAATATGTCGGCCTACCAAAAGCTCGCGCTACGCGCACGCTCCTTATCCTTGATTGACGTGAGTACCTAATACAACTCAGAGAAAGGCAATTTCACTGAGGTGGTTATGACGTCGGTTCCTGAAGCTCGCCGGAATAAAAGTTGGGGATCTGGGACCTCCTCGCACCTCTCTTTCGTCAACATTACATATATCTCGAATCACAGATACCAAACCTCATGGACGTATGCAACATACCATGGCTTCCAAAGGTTTTACGATCGACTTCTCCAGTGCGTGATTATGCGTGTCACCTTTCGCTTGACATTGTTCGCCTCGCCGTAGACAAATGCATCATCATCACTGGGGGAAACCGCGGGATTGGATACGCTTATAGTCGCGCTGTTGCCCACGCTGGTGCACGAGTGGCTATTATTTACAGGTTGGCCCCGAGTCGGGCATTCATATTCTACATTTAATGTGTATTTCAGGAGCTCCAAGGACGCGCATGAAGTAGCTGAGAACCTTGGAAAAGAATTTGGCGTGCAAGTCAAGGTTTGTGGAATGTTTGGCGGTTGACCTATTGCATTAACCCTCCCTGTTTGTGTACGCAGGCTTATCAATGTGATGTATCTGATGCACAAAAGACAACTGAAACGTTTTCTCTTATCGACAAAGATCTTGGTCCGGTGACAGGACTCATAGCAGTAAGTGGAACGTTCTCCGGCCATGTCATTTCTACGAAACGAGGAACTTGACATCACAGAACGCTGGCGTCTCCGTGGTTAAACCTGCACTCGAGCTGACCAGCAGAGACTTCCATAAAGTGTACGGTGTTAACGTCCTTGGTGTATTCAACAGCACCAAGGCCGCGGCAAAGTGAGTTCCATCATGAGGTAGTATTTTGGAAAGCGTGAGCCAAACGGATATGGCAGGCTGTGGATTGACAAGAAGTATGGCGGTTCGATCGTTATTACATCCTCCATGAGCTCTCGGATCATCAACCAAGTCGCGCCAAATAAGCCATTGACTCAAGTCTTCTACAATTCATCCAAGGGTGCTGTGTCCATCCTCATGAAAGGGTTGGCAGCGGAGTGGGCTACTTATGGGATTAGAGTGAATGCGCTATCCCCTGGTTATGGTCAGCATCTTGCAATAATCCCGTTGGTGCTAACTTGTTAAGCATTTGATATCAGTGAACACAGATCAGACCTCGGGTATGGAAACTTCCGTCCTCGAGCATCAGGCAAAGACCATACCGCTCGGACGCTTCGCCGAGGTATGTATCAAAGAATTTTGATCCGACGGGCGCTCACCACCTCAAAAGCCATATGAGATGACAGGTCAGGCGGTCTTACTCCTGTCCGATCATGCCAGTTACATGACGGGCGGAGAATATTTTGTCGACGGGTACGTGTGGTTTGATTATCTGATACACATCATTAGGTTTTGATGCCTTCTTGAACTATAGTGGTCACCTCATTTGGTAAACTGCGATACCCTCGAGGAGTTGTGCATTTGAGTGATAGATTGTCGTCGAGAGCTGTGCGTTAGGCTCATGTGGTATCAGCCCGTTAGTTATTAGCCTAGTTACTCATATAATTCCAAGTGGTTCTACCGTTCAGGCCCAGGGCCCGGCTTCAACAAATGCATGAAATTGGTCGATATAAGTGTGACCCGTCTGAAACAACCCAACATCATTGGAAATAGAGAGGACGGATTTTAGGAGAGATCATAACCCGAAGAACCGCGGACATGAGGACCTCGAAATGCAGGCAGAATTCGAAGGCATACTGTAGCCAGGCCCATATCTATATCAGTGGAAAATGTCACAGAGGGGGGATTTTGAATTTGTGTGAGCTTCGTGGTACTGATGGAACGGTGGTGTCTCTTCAAGTCCATGACTTGCACTACTTCACTCATCCTTGTGGACTCTGGGATGTCTTTGAAGAGAACTATCATGTAGATCGCGGTAGTAGGCAAGTCTAAGGGCGGCCTAAAGAACAAACTACTAGATCTAGTCTGCAAAATTTCCACGAGGGTGATTAATCATTTTGATCAAAGCTTGAAGAAGGCACGAGATATTTAGAATCTGCGTGTTTCCGGACCGAATTGCATCTAGACCATCTGACCAAATCAAGTAACACTGTCGAGGAATCTTAATGGTCTTACCCAAGTCTTACCGTTGTCTTATGGGTATACTGCATGGGTACATTGTATGCGGAGTCTCTGCAAACACCTCGCCCTCGGAGAATCGAAGATGGTAGGATCAACGTTCATCCATGCTATTCAACAGTGTCTCGCTAAGTCTATGACAACATGCGTGGATCGAAGCTCAACAGCCGGCCAAGCCATTCTTTTCGCTGAATTCTTGGTCGGATTAATATCGTGCAAATAATTAAATGACAAATACACGTGTTATATCACACAGAAAGAGCCGAGAAAGAGCCCTTTGTATGTGAGCTTGAGATGCCATTCTCGATGTCATCCGGTAAGGTGTCGGCATGGGTATGTACAGTTTGTTGCAGCGAGACCTGAACGCCCCCATACGGGAATGGCGCAGCATAAATCGGCGGCTCGCTATTGGGTAGCCTAGAACCCACACGTGTCATCCACTGAACGTTCCGCGCGGAAGATACTGTGCCATTGGCGCGATGGGAATCACCATGAGATACGCCCAGACCGACGCGGACGATAACGGAAGAGAACTGGAGGGACGATACACGTGAGAAAGGGAGGAAGAAACAGTCACGGGGAATCGACATACCACAATGCCCTGTGTCGGATGTAGGGTGAGCAAATTGAGAAGATAAAATACACGGAACTCACGATGATCGGTGATATCTTGATCAATATGCTGTTAATTACATCTTTTAAAAATAGCTAGACTTACTGAATTCAAAACGATGAACATGGCTGGAGAGCCAGAAGCACATGTTCCGATCATAACCATGAGTAAGATTGAGTACACAGAAGCTACTGGTGCATGAATACATATCAGAGAAGGCATTGCTAGAATTTTTACCAGATTCAACTATGATTGGCACCAAACGAGAGACCTGGTCCCCACCGCTTTTTGCGAAGGGTGTAATTGCTTTTTGGATATTTAAAATCTTGAATGCAATCAGTGCTGATATGCGAATTTAGTCTGGCCCCGGATGTAGAGTAAAAAACAAACATGTGCAGACCACGTTCATGGCCAGAGTATTCGAGTAGAATATCTTGACGCGAACAGAGAGGGCATCGGCGAAGACGTTTTCACCCGGAACGACACGGCTCAAAGTGTATACCAAGAGAACACCCATAGCTATATTACGTGTTAGCCGTAGCAGATGGATGGCAGAAGGGAACAAACCAATATCCGCGATGAATAACAAGAAAGGGAAGGTGGAGATGAGGTAACTCCTACCCCATACAATGAATGAGCGGTATAACTGCAGAGATGCTCAGATTTTGATAACGGCGAGTTTAGGATGCGTACAATGAATGCGTCAGACACCAATGTAACAGCAACATACAGAACAGTCTTTAGAATGTTCTGCCAAGTGTCAAATGTCCCATAATATATGGTTGGATAATTTGGCTCTGCCTCGTCTGTAGTGAAAGCCTGTATGTTGCGCAGGATGTCAACGGCAACGTGCTAGAGAGTTATGCATAAGATACGTCGACAATGTTGAGTCGACGAGACACGCACTGCCGTGATGAAGATGAACAATGAAATTGCAGTCCCGACCAAGTAATCACTTGGTCGCGATTGCCTGTTCCTCAGTACAGACATGCATTGACTAAACACCATCAGATATACACCTAGGCAAGGATTAGCATGGGACACATATAGAGATGGGGTGACAAAACCGTATGCCAATGACTCCATAAAAACGCCAATAAGCTCAGCCTTCGGGGTTGTCAACGCCATGATACCTCGGGTTGCCTGCAAGTCGACATGTGGTAAGTAATATTTAGGAACACAAAAGGCATACTTTCGTGCTAGCGTATCTGATCAGTGAGTCTGTCGCACGCGCCCCGAATTGTTACCACAATGAATGCTAGTAATCCCTTGTGGACACACGAAGCAGAAAGGTGAATCTACTCTGTATTAAAGCATTTGATTACGATAAACAATCTTGGGTCCAAAGTGTGAAAAGCATATTCACTTCCGGCAATCCCACGCACAAGCTTGCGAGCAGATACCGCGGTCATGAAATACCCCTTGGGAAACATCCGCCAGATCATGACATTGCTGGCATGACTCGGATGATGACAGGCACTTGAACGAGGTTATTGCGATTATCAGTGATCGCTATCAAGCAGACACGATGGCATCAATTCCTGTGCTAGCAGGTAACAAACACTTACACTTGTTGTGGTACTACTGGTACAACCCATATCTCCTTACGATAAAAACATTGTAAGTAAGACTTTAGTGTTGTTTGGTCAGCATAAATGATTTCCATAATTACAATTCTCACGGCTACAAGCACACTGTCATCGCCATCGCCTTCGTTCTTCGGCGCTGCACTTTTATGCTTTTGCATCAATACCAGTCACTCGATGCTAGTGAATACTGCAAACTTGAACTTGAACGTTCAACGTTCATCTGATGGGTATATCTCCTGCATGGCACCGTGCTAATAAGGTGTGCCAGGGATATCAACCGACACTATGCCGCACACATCATCATGGCATGCGGTAATTGACCAAGGTTACAGGTACAACTTCAACGGAAGATTGCGACAAGACTTGTCACTATGGCATTCGCAATGATCTAGGTGAGTCCTGTGCCATTTCTTATCAGATGTATACACAAATGTAGCATCATGCAACTTAAATCTGCGGATTATCACCGCCGGTCGAGTTCAAACACACGTATAGAAGATCACTGGGTACCTCCCCTCTAATTCCATTTAACACCTGCTTAGATATCCACCCTACAATTGCATTTCCTGTTCAACTTAACACGGCCTTGGTACATCATTGTAGTTCAGGCCTATCAAGACGGATGAAAAGTTACTGAATTATCAAGTTCAGCTGTGCTTTTCTCTGCAATCACGAATGGAGCTTCTGTGGTCGGATAAATCTCTGCATCGCCATTATTAGAAGCCTTTTGGTCTTTGCCAACGAATTTCTTTCCAAGAATCCCGATGTCGAGATTCGGGGGTTGTCATCCACTCGGGCCGTATGTCCCATCTTGCTGTGACGTCCACATGTCTCCTTTTTTGAAAGAAAAAAGGCATTGTTCATTTGATGTATGCATTTTACTGATGGATGTCTGCTACCCCACGGGGCCATGTTAACACAGTTCGATTGGGTGTGGACCTGTCGTGTGGTCATGGGCAATATGCATGTACCCGGATCGCCAAAGCATGACTGCTCGAACATGCCACGTCTGCACCATTCGTGGCACATAAGTACTTGATAAGTTCGAGAATCCCAAAAGGCCTTTGAGTGGCTGCTCAGATTATACACCGTGAAAAGACTTGTCGCTGTCCTTCAAATGAGCTTCAGTCAATGTTTGATTTCAAAGGGGCCTTCGCGGGTAAATCCGACATTATGGGATCTTCCTTGACTTGGTACTACGATGTCGATTGCCTTCGAGATTCCAGCCAAGCGTGTCTTGTCTAGCACCCAGTTGACCGCATTTCAATCATCTGCTACTTACAATACCATCACATCGTACATCGAGGTTCTGAATGCTTCCGTGGTGGGTGTGAAGCTTACCGACGCGCACCCGGAATCTCTAGTGCGTTTCCTCCTCCAATTTCATCCTTACAACTAATCCATTGTTCTTGCGTAAGCTCAGGGAATAAATGCCATCCTCCGCTTGTTAGATCGAATAGAGCAACTGGCTCATGAGACTCCCCCGGTTGAGAACAAGGCATCAAGATTTGGCAATCCGGCCTTCAGGTCGTTCTACGACAAAGTCCAAAGTGTAGGTCTTGCAATTCTTCTCCCTTCGTTTTTCATACTTACTTCTATCGTATTCAAGCTGGCACCGTCGTTGCATGCCGACCTTCCCGGCCTAGATCAAAATGCTACACCCGAATTAACTACCTATTTCTCGCAGGCTTGGGGGAATCGAGAGCGCATTGACTATGGGAGCGGTATGGAATTGAATTTTCTTTGCTGGCTGTAAGTCTTTTTATGTTTTTGATTCACTTGGTCCTCATATCACATCTCACAGGATATGCCTAGATCGTCTGCAGGTTGTTACGGCAAATGATCACACCGCGCTTGTTACTCTCGTGTTTTGGAGGTGCATTATCAAATCATTTATTCTGTTCATCGCTCATCCCTTTCAGATATATTCAAATCATGCGCGTACTTCAGTCAACGTATTGGCTAGAACCCGCTGGATCTCATGGCGTCTGGGGTCTCGATGATTATCATTTTTTGCCTTTCCTCTTTGGTTCTTCACAGCTACGCGGCACGTCGCAATTAGTTATAGTATGCAACGAGTCCTGATATTTTCTACTGCAGGACACAAGTTTGTACGACCGAAGGCCATACATGATGCAGAGATCGTAGATGAACTATCGAAGGATTATATGTACTTCTCTTGCATAAAGTTCATCAACTCCGTTCGTATCTTTTGTATTGCGTGCCTATTTGACATCTCAAGATTTGGATATAGATCAAGACGGCCTCACTTAGATGGCACTCACCGATGCTGGATGATATATCAGCAGTGCGTGCTACGGCCCTCGGTACATTGACC